AAAAAAATGTATTGGGTATTTATCCAGTATAAAGCCACTGTAACCTCCTGTCGGACCAAGACAGAGAAACTAAGCAAACAGATCAAAAACCCACTAACCCCAACCATATTACACCTGATCTTAGCCAAAAGGCCAAGAAGTGATAACCCCAACCATATTAAACAGAATACATAGACAGTGAGGAAATAGAATCAGATCAGATGTTTCTCCTCTTTCAAGGAAGTTATAGTCTAATAGAAAAGGTCACTGGATAATAGCTAAATGCTATTAATATAGATAGGTATTGGGGCTGGTGCTGTGGCTCAATGGGTTAATGCCTGGCCTGAAGCACCGGCATCCCATATGGGTGCCAGTTCTAGTCCCGGCTGATCCTCTTCCAGACCATCTCTCTGATATGTCCTGGGAAAGCAGTGGAAGATGGCCCAAGTCCTTGGGTCCCCGCACCCACGTAGGAGACCCGGAAGAGGCTCCTGGCTTCTGGTTTCGGAGAGGCGCAGCTCCGGCCGTTGTGGCCATCTGGGGAGTGAACCATCGGATGGAAGACCTCTCTCTCTCCCCCTCCCTCTCCCTCTCCCTCCCCCTCCCCCTCTCCCTTTCCCTCTGCTCCTCTCCTCTCTCTGTGTAACTCTGACTTTCAAATAAATAAATAAATCTTTAAAAAATATATAGATAGGTATTACAAAACCTAGATGAAGACCATTTAAATTGAAGAAAGTGAAAAATGGAAATTGTTCAATGGACACAAATTGTTATTGAGTTATTGCTAATTTTGAAGAAACACCATGTGTTTATTCTGAGTATATGTAAGTGTCTCTAACAGTTTTATTTAATATGTTTTCTTCTATATTTAAAATATAAATATTATAGTGAATATATTCTCCTTTAATTTTCTTTTATTTTCCTCAACCCTGTATTTTGAGACTTATCCATGATATCATATATAGCTCTGGTTATTTTAACTGTTTTGTGGTATTCTGTTTGATTAATGCATACCATTTTATTTATCCAGGTTGGCCAATGAATTTTTTAAAAATATTTATTTATTTATTTGAGAGGTAGAATTACAGACAGAGAGAGGGACAGAGAGAAAGGTCTCCATCCACTGGTTCACTCACAAAATGACTACAACAAAGACAGAAGCAGGAGCTTCTTTCAGGTCTCCCACATGGGTTCAGGAGCCCAAGCATTTTGGTCATATTTCACTGCTTTCTCAGGTTATAAGCAGAGAGCTGGATCAGAAGAGGTGCAGCCAGGACATGAACTGGTGGCCATATTGATGCCAGCACTGCAGGCAGAGGCTTAGCCTACTTCACCACAGCACTGGTCCCACCAATGAATGCTTGATATTTTATTTTTTCTATTCTCTGTGTTTTTGTTTTTGTTTTTTAATTTTTATTTATTTATTTATTTTTGACAGATAGAGATAGTAGGTGAGAGAGAGAGAGACAGAGAGAAAGGTCTTCCTTCTGTTGGTTCACCCCTCAAATGGCTGCTACGGCCGGCACTGCGCCGATCCAAAGCCAGGAGCCAGGTGCTTCCTCCTGATCTCCCATGCAGGTGCAGGCTCCCAAGAACTTGGGCCATCCTCCACTGCTTTCCCGGGCCACAGCAGAAAGCTGGACTGGAAGAGGAGCAACCGGGACTAGAACTCAGTGCCCATATGGGATGCCAGCTCCATAGGCGGAGGATTAGCCAAGTGAGCCATGACGCCGGCCCCTCTGTGTCCTTGTGATTGTTGCTTTTGTTGAATAGAGGTTTTCAATTTTAGTTTAAATTCATCAGTCTTTTATTGTTCGAGATTTTTGTGCTTATTTAGGAAATTCTTCCCAACTCTTAAGTTCTTAAATTCACAAAGATACCTTTTTCTATATTTTTCTAAAAATTGAAGACTCCTTTTAATATATAGGTCTGTATGTATGCGTATGTGTGTGTCTGTCCCTCTGGGTCTCTGTGTTTGTCTCTATATGCTCACTCCTCCCAGTCTACATTATCTTCCACCTGTCCACTTGTTCTGGAAGTTTTAGCCAGAGCCGTTAGGTGAGAAAAAGAAATCAAAGGGATACAAGTTGGAAAGGAGGAAGTCAAATTGTCTCTGTTTGCAGATGACATTTTCCTATATAAAAGGGGAGCAACAGACTCTACTAAGAGACTACTGGAACTCATAAGAGAGTTTCCTAAGTTGTAGGATATAAAATCAACACACAAAAATCAATAGACTTTGTATATTCAACAGTGCTGTGGCTGAGAAAGAACTGGTAAGTAAGTACAATTCACAATGGCTACAAAATGTAAATGCCTTTGAATAAATTTAACTAATGATGTGAAAATCCTCTACAAAGAAAATTTAAAAACATTAAAGAAAGAAATAGAAGAAGACACATAAATGGAAAAATCTTACATGTTCTTGGGTTGGAATAATTAATATAATCAAAAGTCCATACTACCCAAAACAATTTATGGTTTCAATGTGATCGCAATCAAAATACCAATGACCTTGTTTGTAGATCTAGAAAAAAATGATACTAAAATTCATATGGAAACACAAGAGACCCCAAATACCTAAAGCAATCTTATACAACCAAAACAAAGCTGGTGGTACCCCAATACATGATTTCAAGACATACTACAGGGCAGTTATAATCAATATAGCTGGGTACTGGCAAAAAGCAGACATGTAGGCCAATGGGTCAGAACAGAAACCCCAGAAATTAACCCATGCAGTTAAAACCAACTAATCTGATAAACAAGCTAAAATTAATCCTTGGAGAAAGGACAGCCTCTTCAACAAATGAACATAGATGCAGCTCAAGAAACTGAAAAACAACAAAACAAACAATCCAGATAAGAAATGGGCAAAGTACATGAACAGGCATTTTTCCAAAAAATGAAGCACAAATGGTCAATAGACACATAAAAAAAATCTCAGGATAACTATCACTCAGGGAAATGCACAATGAGGTTTTATCTCAACCCCATTCAATTGGCTATCATCCAAAAATAAAAAAAAATAAATTCTGGGGCTGTTGTTAAGGTGCCTGCAGCAACGACATCCCATATTTGTGCCAGTTCATGTCCTGTCTTCTCTTTTTCCAATCCAGCTCTCTGCTCTGGCCTAGAAAAGCAGTAGAAGATGGCCTAAGTCCTTGGGCCCCTGCACCCATGTTGGAGACTCAGAGGAAGCTCCTGGCTTCTGGCTTCAGATTGCCTCAGCTCCAGCTGTTACAGCCATTTGGAGAGTAACTGGCGGATGGAAGACCTTTCTATCTGTCCCTCTCCCTGTCTGTAACTCTACCCCTCAAATAAACAAATAAAATCTCTTTAAAATTGAAAAAAATGCTGGCAAGCACGTGGAGGGAAAGATATATTAGTCCACTGTTGGTGGGAATGTAAACAGCATTCATATATGAAGTTATATATACTGACTCACATGTATTGGGGTACCTCCAGCTTTGTTTTGGTTGTATAAGATTGCTTTATATGAAGTCAGTGTATGCTCAGAAATCTGAAAATAGATCTACCATATGACCCAGACACTCTACTCTTGGGAATTCACCCAAATGAAATGAAGTCAGTATATGAACGAATTATTTGTACCACCATGTTTATTGTAGCTCAATTCACAATAGCTAAGATTGGAATTAATACAGATGTCCATCAATTGATGACTGGAGAAAGAAAATGTAGTGTATATATACACTATGGAATACTACTCATTCATTAAAAGAATAAAATCCTGTCTTTTGCAACAAAATTTATGCAACTGGAAACCATTATGCTTAGTGAAATAAGTCAGTCCCAAAAAAGACAAATATCATGTTTTCTGTGATATGTTGTAGTTAATATAGATACAAAAAATGTATAGGAATGAAACAGACATCTTGGGATTTGATTGTTGTAAAATTTTTAGTCCTTGTTTACACTTCTATGTAACTGTGGTCTTTACACTTCTTACTTGTTATACATTATGATTAGTACTGCATTAAATCTGTGATTATAAGGTGGTCTGAAATTATATATTTGCAAAAATTAAATAAGAAAAAGGAAGGAAGGAGGGGGATTGAGGGAAGGAGGGGGATTGAGGGAAGGAGAGGTTGAGGGAGGGACTTATGGTTATCTTGTTGTAATTGTACCTGTGAAATAATAAAATCGGTTCTCTTTATATTAATAAAAATTTTTAAGAAACCAAAACTTCTTATCAGATGATTATATATATTTCTATAAAATAACCACCCATTTCCACAATCAATATTTTGATTGAATAGGTTAATAATAACTATTATAATATGAAAATATTATTTACAGTTAAAGCATGATTAGGAAACGTAATCCTTGGTCACACTTATCTGAAATTTAATTGCATCATAGCTTGCTAAAAATAATTTAAAAGACTAAGATCAGTTATTATGGGTGACAAAGTGTAAATTTGACCTAGTTTGGCTGAATTTGTACTTCATTGTTCTTTCTATTCTAAATTCATAAATTCAAGTCCTATTTGAATAATTACATAATTCTCTTTCTTCCCTCAAAGGAGAGCTCTAATCCAATTTCCCATACTCTTCCTACATCTACTTTGTCCTCTAAAACTGATTTTTATAATTTGTACACTCTAGGCAAGAGGAAAGGAAACATTTCTAAGGTATTCCTTCACTCATAACTCATGAAAGGGAAATTTGAAAACATCCATCTGAAATATAAATATTCTGTTTGTTCATCTAGAGTAGAAAGAGAAATGTGACTTGAACAAGCAATAAACACATGTTCTGTCCCAGAAAATCCAGTTCCTAAAGATATATACTTATGTAAAGCTTGAATCACTATTGCTAATTTCCTCTGATATAAACCAATATTCAAATTGGAGCTTGGCAAATGTGTGTTCATGATGTCAATTATACTTTTTGGCAAATTTATAAAAGCATATTAAAAACTCTAAAAATGTTTTACCTAAATGTCTTGGAAGGGTAAAGAATAAACAATACTGAACTATGTTTTTCCATCCCAAGGTTTTCAGGGTGTGGGATATACAGACTCTCTCGCTACTTCAAATCTTCCATGATACCCAGGGAGGACCAGGAGACATGCAGATTTATTCTATGATATATGATGCCAATCATGGCATGCTCATAACAGGTAAGCGTACCCAAATAATGGCAAATGAAACTCATATCTTGATTTTAACCTCCTTTAAACTAGCATTTGAGCACTAACTAGGAAAAAAAAACCAGAAAGAGAAATTACAAACCATAGCTAACCAAAGTAGATTTTTATTTCAATTCTATTCTTCCCCATCTTTCCATGGCCAAGTAGAGGATATGTATAACTGCATATATCTAAAAATACCAAGTCAGTGCTGTAAGTTCTTGAACCTAGGGATGCATGACCTGAACTTAAGCAGAAAAAGATGATGTAATCTGTTGCTAAATATAGTGCAAATCTAGCTCCCATGCTATGCTCAGTTGTTGAGGTTCTCAGAACAGGTATGTGATCCTATCTTCGAGCAGCTGCAACAGCACACATCGGCATGATCCCCTTTCTACAGAAAAGCAATATGGCCCCATGCATTCTGGAAGTGAGTCAGTAGCTCAGATCAAGGACTGTACTGACCCTTCCACTTGCCTTTGCCTCTCAGCAAAGACCAGAGGGAGGACAGAGTCTAGGATGACAGAACTGGACAGATACCAATACAGAGACAAGGGGCCCTGCTAAGCACTTAGTTTGAACACCATTCATAAGTGTATCCTTAAACTTTAGAAGAAAAACAAATGATACTACCAATAGTTTGTCCTTCTGGAATAGTAAGCCAGAATATATGTCCTAAGCATTTTCTACTGACCACTTGCTCTGAGTTCCAATAGGATTAACAAAACAGGGAAGTGGTTGGTGTTGCCTGCTAGTGAAGAATAGAATTAATTTTTAACTCTCCCACCTCTGGATTAGGAGTGAACTAGGACTTCATGCTCAATAAATAACTTCTGACCTAAAACAAAACTGTTCTAGTTGTAAGCACCCTTCCTCTATTGCAACACCTCAAAAAAAGTACGTGTGAATGAGTATGAATAAGTTTTCTCTCTTAGTTCCCCAGCTTGTGTGTTTGATTACTGGGTTCAGCACTTCATGCCATTTGTCATCAGAGGAACTAAGGACCCAAATAGCAAGGCAAAAAAAGGAGACAAGGAAGAAGAAAAAAAACAGAAAAATCAAGACTTCCCAATTTTATGTAATTCTGATTAGTACTTCTGTTGCAAAAATATAGAGCTCTATGCATCGCTTAATCACTGAAATTACATATATTGACTACAACCATCAACTTACCATCAGAATTACAGAAAGCATATTTCAGACTTTAATTTAGGCTTTGATTCCAATGCAGCAGTCAGAGTGCTCTTTTAAACCCAATGAACAGGCACAGTGCCTGGAAATGCCATGTAGAGTATGTTTTTGTGAGTGTCACAGTTGTTATCATTATTGCTCTAAGACAACTACTATCTGTATAGCCCTTTTTCAAAAGCATTCATATCATTTTTCATTTGACCTACACAACCATCATGTGAAATAGGAATTATTTATTCATATTTTATAAGTGATAGTACTGAATCTCAAACAGTTCATCTGGTAAAAGGACACGAGGTAGAATCATAGAGCAGGAGTTTGATCTCAAAGCCTTCTGATTCCTGAATTCCTGTGCCTTCTCAGGACTGCAATGTGCCCATAGTATTAATATCACAAATCCCCTAAAAGTAGAAGCATATCTAGATTGTCCACAGCATCTGCAGCATTGTTGAAGTCTACTGAGTAAAGTTAAGTTACTCTCAGTGTAATGATAAAGTGAATGATAATGTAAAGAAGCTCCAAGTGGGGTTTGATTATCTGGTAACCAGATGCCTCTAACATTTGCATACCAAGGTGTTTGAACTGAGATACATTACCAGATGAGCCATCTCAATCCTTCTTCACACATGAACAGATCTTATCCCAAAATTTAAACACCTCAGTAACTCTGGCTGAAACTTCTCCTAGAGTTAAAATTTCTTTGGAGAGACTTGAGAAACTCAGTGCAAAATCTGCCTTTGGTAACTCAGTCTCCATATTCATAAAATGGGGAAAATTTCATATTTGAGCTAAAGAATGTTTTGAGATCCTTATTTCTATTTCCAGACATTACACAAAAACAGAACACACAGTTAATTGATTTTCCCAGCTAAGTCAGACTTTCACTCAATAATATTGTATTACAAAACCAAGCCAAACAACCTTAGAATAGTGCAAGCCAAGAATACCTGCTCTCCATCTAATGGTTACACTAACTACATTTATCACCATGGTGACTTGGAAATTAATCTTATTTATTATTGATGTTGCAAACACTAGCTTGCAAACATTCTCATTCATTATACTTATTAAGACCATGTTTACAGAGTGCTTTATCTTTTGTTGTTTGAAAAGGGCTCTCTAACAATAAATTTAAATCATGAAATGGGAGCTTACCTTCAGCAGAAATCTGATCATCACAATTCTTGCTGTGCACCAATGGAGAGGTATGAAGTAAGCACAATAAAGAAGAGGGAAACTGGATTATAAAAAATAGGAAATTGAGGGTCACTAAAATGAGGATGTCAATGAAGTCTCAAATAGCCTTGTATTTCAAAGTATGAAGCACCAAATGAATGCTTTTCTCTGGCCAATGACAATTGCTTTATTAGTCAAAAATGGTTTAGAGTAAATGAACATACTTTCACCTCATTAAGTTTCCTAGGTAATGACATTACTAAACTAACTGATACGCTGTTTCCAAACAATTGCTTGAGAAAAATGCTTTGGGATTCGAAATTTCAAGTGCTGAGTGTTTATGGGATTACTGCTTCTATTCCAGGGTCTAGTGTTATGGACATGTACCCTTTGTCAAGGATGATACAAGATACAGAACATGTTCCTCACACACATAAACAAGAAATCAATGTCATGCTTTACAACAAATCTTTTCACCAAGTACTCACTATTTGCTCTGAATCCATAATTAAGGTGGGTACTTATTGAATCTTCAGAAAGAAAAAGGCAGAGCAAATAGAATTTTCTCTTCTTCCAGGTAAATTACTGAGTGATGAGGTAAGTATAGTGGCACATGTAAGATTTTTTTTGCAAGGTTTAATTTTTATAGAAAGCTTTTATTTAATAAATATAAACTTCATAAGTACAATTTTTGGATTATAGCGGTTCTTCTCCCCATACCCACTCTCACCTCTAAAACATCCCACCTCCTACTCCCTCTCCCTTCCCATTCTTCATCAAGATTCATTTTTATTATCTTTATATACAGAAGATAAACTCTATGCCAAGTAAAGATTTCAACAGTTTTAACCCACACAGACACACAAAGTATAAAATACTGTTTGAAGACTAGTTATACTGTTAATTCTCATAGTAAAACACATTAAGGACAGAGGTCCTACATGGGGAGCAAGTGCACCATGACTCCTGTTGTTGATTTAACAATTGACACTCATATTTGTGACATCAGTAATCCCCCGAGGCTCTTGTCATGAGCTGCCAAGGCTGTGGAAGCCTCTTGAGTCCACAAACTCTGACATTATTTAGACAAGGCCATAATCAAAGCGGAGGTTCTCTCCTCCCTTCAGAGAAAGGTACCTCCTTCTTTGATGGCCCCTTCTTTCCACTGGGATCTCACTCACAGAGATCTTTCATGTAGCTAATTTTTGCCACAATGTCTTGGCTTTCCATGCCTGAAATGTTCTCATGGGCTTTTTAGCCAGATCTGAATACCTTAATGGCTGGTTCTGATGCCAGAGTGCTGTTTAGGACATCTGACATTCTATGTGTCTGCTGTGTGGCCTGGGTCACATGCTGGATCATTCTACCTTTTTTAATTCTATCTATTATTATTAGCAGACACTAGTCTTATTTATGTGACCCCTTTGACACTTAATCCTATCTTTATGATCAGTTATGAACTTAAATTGATCACTTTAACTAGTAAGATGGCATGATACTTGCCAGCTTAATGGGATTTGGAGTCCCATGTTAAGTTTTTAGCTTTACCCTTAGGGATAAGTCCGAGGGAACGTGTGCTGAACGTACATCTCCTTCCTCTCTTATTCCCACTCTTATTTTTAACAGGGATCAATTTTCAATTGGATATAAACACCTAAGATACTTCTGTGTTAAGTAAAGAGTCAACCAATGGTATTAAGTAGAAAAAGAAAATACAGAAAAGAATAAAATAGTAAGCTGTTCCTCAACAGTCAGGATACAGGGTGATCCAATCATTGCTTCTCAGAGTGTCAGTTTCATTTCAACAGGTTTCCTTGTTGTAAATGACCAGATTTCTTTTTTTTTTAACTACTTTGTAGTATTCCATAAAGTACATATCCCATAATTTCTTTATACGGTCTTCCATTGATGGGCAAAATGGCACTCGCTCTATTGGCTTGTATGCCTTTTTGAGGTGATCAGAGAGAGAGAAATGTGTCTATACCATTCTTTTTTTTTTCCTCCTCTATTTAGGCTGATGCACTTTCCCCCACAGGGCTTCAAACCTCGTTCCCTCTAATCTCTTCCTGCCGCTTTTTCACCAGCAGCCTGGGATACTGTGGTCTCTTCTCACTTCACTTTCCAGCACCGGTGTGTGGGCTTTCAGCTGTTAGAGTCCCGAGCCGTGGGCACCCACATCTTCCACGTAGGTCCACCATGTCCCTCTAATTTTGGTAGAGTTTCCTCTGCTGTTTTTTCCCTAACTCCTTCCTGAGACTACACGATCTTCACTCTTCTTAAACCATCTTCTCCTGGGCTAGAGCAGTAAGCTCCCTCCCTATTCCACCATCTTGGAACTGCCCCATAGTACACATAAGATTATACATTAGAGCTGTCTTTACACTTTCATGAATACCTGAACAACAAACATTTGAAAGCCAGTTCAGACTACTTGCTACCAAGCCACATATTCAACTGAATAAATAAAGCCAGCAATTACTGTCAAAACAGAAATTTTAAAGAAAAATACATCAAGGAAAGAGAATTATTCTGGATTTTGATTGTTTTGGGGCTGGACTTACAGTTAATTAACAAGAGAAAATATTTTTTATTAAATTTACATGGAAAACAGTTTGAATAAACGACCAAAGTACTTTACTTTTATTATTTTTGGACAATGTAATGACAAAACATATGGATAGCTAGACCACAGAAGTGAATTCTGGTTATTTTACCCAAGAAATATATAGGGGACTGAGGAGAAACTAATAGAAAATAAGGTTCACTTCAGAGAGCTTGCTTATTCAGCTTCATTGCAATCTCAATTACCAGTCTGCGGAGATTTTCTAGCCTGGGAATGTGAATGATTTCACTCCCAAAAGGATCTCAGTGGCTTGCTGTATGTAGTAAATAAGAGTCCAAGTGGCCCTTTCTGAGGTTACAGTTCCTCATGTCATTTCAGCCTGATCTACTGAATAATCCATAGACCAATCTGACATATTTTGAGATGGCACATGAACCCAGATGAACCCCAGTGTGTCTCGCCAGGAACACTTACACACTTCTGCTGCTTTCCTGAAGCCTGTCACCACTCTGTCCTCTAGGGAACAGGCTGTGTGGTCAAACTAACAGCATCTGTCATTACACCCACAGGGGTCACCTGGCAGTCATGGCTGGAGGTGTTTGCTTCAGGTGTTTATTCTTTTATTTCACATCTGCTCTCCAAAGGAGACATATGGACACAAAAGTGAGCTTTCCTCTGGAGACTTTCCAACCACCTCTCATTGTTTTGGACTTTTGTACTCATTCAGGCTAAAATCTCCCGAGTTTGGTGCATTATCATTTATTTCTGGTAATGCCTTAAGGGAGAATAAGTAGAGGGATACTAAAACAACTACCTGGTCTGCTTCCTCACTATACTGACTATTAAGGGGCAAATGACTTTGCTGGGTGGGATAGAAGAGTAGAAATAATCCAGGTAAGTTTTCATAGTTGACTGGTTGGACAGGGATTATACTATGATGCTGGAGATGGGTGACTCTGAGATCCATACATACAATGACTCACACTCTTTTTTCCTTTTAGCACCCTCTCTATACCTAGGGACACACAAAGAATATAAATATGGGCCCTAGGGCCATACTGCTGCCATTCAAGTCCTCATTCTACCGATCCCAGTCAGTGGTTCTTTACTGTCTGAACTCTAGACTGTTTCCTTAGATGCTTCCCTAACAATCCCCCTCCCTGCAATGGCAATAGCATCCTTCCAGTTCCCTGGAGAAAAACTACATCTTCTCATCTCCAGCGTTTTGCACGTGCTGCCTTCACCCCTCCAAATACCTCAAGTCCAGCCATTCTGTGGCCAATCCAGCTCTAATACTCTCTGGTGGTCCAATTTACATCTAAACTTGGCAGATCTGTGACGACAGATTCTGATGGAAAGTCTGCAAGTCTCAAGTCTCTTCTATGTTTCCAAAGAGAGAGAATGATGCATGCTGAGATGCTTCTGGATTTTCTAATTACATCCAGCCTAACTACACAGATGGCTTCCTGTAAAATCACAACACCATCCCCACCTCTCTCTCTCCACCTCTTTCTCTCTCTCTCTCTCTCTCTTACTCTTTCTTTCACTAGGCCCATGTTCACAATCAAAATACTCTTTGGAAAAGTTAATGAATTCTTTCCTCAGGGTTGTCTCACATTCCAAGATATTAACCATGGCATCTGTCCCAAACCCCTTAGCAAATTTGGGATAGCATCAACAGGGAATAAATCTAGTTTGATTTCCTGTCTGTTGTACTTTTCAAAGTTACATATCTATCTTGCTGTTAACATCACTTCATCTTTACAACTGATGTCCAAAGACAGGCAATGTCCAGAATACACTGAATCACTACCTGACTCACCCAACTATTGGCAACAGAGGAGGAGACCACAGTGACTGTTAGCACTGTATCTGTCAGAGTTTTTCTTGATCAAATCAACATCCAGGGTCAAGTTTTAGGAAAGGTGTCAGATGTGTACAGTACCAGTTTTGAAGTTATTTTGAATATTGTAAATGTTTGTTAAGAACCTAAGGGCATGTGGATTACTTTTTAGTTGTTGGTGTTCTCTTTTTCAGGTATGGGAACTCGAGACTGGTTTCCAAATATACCAGATTTCAGATGCTCATGGCTACGCTGTTGAAGTGACATCAGGGGCTATTGATGAAAGTGGATTTTGTTTTGCCACAGGAGCATATAATGGTCAGAGTTACATCCAGAATATAGCCTATCTGCTGCAGCATCCTGCAAAGTTGTGCTAGTAACTCATTAGTTTCCTTGGGTTATAGGGAGAGTAGAATCAAGCTGGACTATGCAAGCATGCCAGTGAATAGTAACAGACTGACTTATCTAATGGGAGACTTATGTGTCTAGCTCCTTGTGAGTATGTGCCATGTCAAACATGGGAGGATGTCAGACTCAGAATGTGTTATTTCATCTCATGTTCCTCATGATGTGGAGTACTGCATAGAACTTTCAGGAACTAGAGAGCCCCAGACTGCCCCATCTTTTACTTCAACTTGTTCTGAAGCTCGTGAAAAAATGCTCTAGCTATACAATCTGACCAATTGAATACACTATTCAGAATATATTTTTTAAATGTTTTTATTTGACAGATAGAGTTAGACAGTGAGAGAGACAAAGGTCTTCCTTCCATTGGTTCACCCCCAAAATGGCTGCTATGGCTGGAGCTGTGCCAATCTTAAACCAGGAGCCAGGTGCTTCTTCCTGGTCTCCCATGCAAGTGCAGGGCCCAAGCACTTGGGCCATCCTCCACTGCCTTCCTGGGCCACAGCAGAAAGCTGGACTGGAAGAGGAGCAACTGGGACTAGAACCTGGCGCCCATATGAGATGCTGGCGCCACAGACAGAGGATTAACCAAGTGATCCATGGCACCGGCCCCCAGAATATATTAATCTAGGGATAATTTTCTAAGTAAGCAACTGCTCATAAGCCAACTGATAGAATAACTGAGCATACTGATGTGAAAGTCTGATTTAAAAATTTGAATTAGAAGAGGTCTTTTGCCTAGCAGTTAAGATATCTGTATTCCATGTTGGAGTGTTTGGGTCGATCCCCAGCTCTGGCTCCTGATTCTAGCTTCTTGCCAATGTATACTCTGGGAGGTAGCAGTGATGGCTCAAGTAACTAAGTTCCTGTCACCTAATGGTAGTCCTGGATTGTGTTCCCAGCTTCTGTCTCTCCCCAGCTCAGTCCCAGCTATTGGACTCACATACAGAGTGAACCAACCATTAATCTCTCTCTCTCTCTCTCTCTCTCTCTCTCTCTGTCTTTCTCAATTTAATTAATTCAAAAAAAGTGTGCAGAGGACAATACAACATGAAATAAATAATAAATGCTGGCCGGCACCATGGCTCACTTGGCTAATCCTCCGCCTGTGGCACCAGCACCCCGGGTTCTAGTTCCAGTTTTTGGGGCACCAGATTCTGTCCCAGTTGCTCCTCTTCCAGTACAGCTCTCTGCTGTGGCCCAGGAAGGCAGTGGAGGATGGCCCAAGTGCTTGGGCCCTGCACTTGCATGGGAGACCAGGAGGAAGCACCTGGCTCCTGGCTTCAGATCGGTGCAGCTCCAGCCATAGCGGCCATTTGGGGGGTGAACCAACAGAGGGAAGGCCTTTCTCTCTCTCTCTCTCTCTGTCTAACTCTGCCTGTCAATAAATAAATAATAAATGCTGTGCTAAAAGGGTACGAATGCAATTTCTCTTCATATGGAACAATTCATAAGAAAGCACTCTTTTCCGTAAGTACACTTTGCACTTATATGACAATAAGTTACAACAGAAACCCTAAGCAACAATACACTATCATCATCAGGTATGAACATTAAGCAATTCAATATACGAGTGGTAATAGTACTATTTTCATGCAAGGAAGTCACATTTTACTTTGTTAGTCCTATGACTTAGTATTCTTTTAGTGACAATTGGTCCTCTTCAGAGGTATATTTGTTAAATTGACAAAGATCCTGGGTCCAGGACATCTAGAAACTAGGATTCTGTGTCCCCCAGAGCAGCTCTACCCACAAGCCACCAGTGCCCTCACCCCCCACCTATAAATAGCTGAGCTGTACCTTTCCCTGCTCTCTGCCTCACTGATTGCTGAGGACCCAGTATGACAGGAACTCTCGGCCATGGCAGTGATTTGTCTAACCCAAGAGTGAATGAGGACATGGGACCTTCTTTTAATCATTCGCATGACTATTTTCTTAAAGACTATGAAGTGTTAAAGGGCAGGAACTGTGACTACCCACTTTATATCCTGTGCTTTTATCACCATATTGCGTATACAGGGAATATTTAAGCGATGCTTAATTATGTTGTGAGGGAACATGATTGGGATTATATATTGCTGATGGGGAAAACCTGGCACATGGGAAGGAAAACAGCACAGTGAAAACACTCTGGATGTACATCAGGATTAGAACTAAGGGATAGCAAGTAGTGGGTAGGGAAAGGTGTGGAGGTTAAAGGGGAAAAGTGCTAAACCTGAGATGGCTACTATAAAAATCCCATGTGAAAGGATAATTTCTACACCGAGTGATGAACTCAAAATAGCTATTCAGCAATCATTCTGATTATCATTCCTTCTAGCCCCTTCATCCAGCCCCTCCCCCACCACATGAACAAAGGTAATGATAATGAAAAGCATGTCAGTGCATTTGGGCTGTTATAATAGAACATCATAAGACAATATGGTTTTTGGACCACAGAAACATACTTCTCAAGGTTCTGGAGGCTGGGAAGTCCAAGCAGAAAGCACCAGTAAATCTGGTATCTGTAGAGGACCTGCTTCTTGGTTTATAGACAGCACCTTTTCATTGTGTTCTCACATGGCAGAAGGGGCAAGGGAGCTCTCTGGTACCATTTTAATAAAGGCACTAATCCCACTCATGAGGGATTAGTCATGAGTTAGTCACTCCCAAAGATTACATTGGAGATGAGATGTCAATAGAAAGTACAATTTCAAAGGTAAGAAAGAAACTACATTCATTTTTCATTCTTCTCTGATGTAACCAACAAAACAACTCCAAGCCTGATAGTTTCCTACCTGTTGCAATTTCCTCTAGCCTTCTATTATTCAATAAGAGCTAGGTCACCTTGAGAAATGTGACAGTATACTAGAATGATCTTTGACTGTTAATAAGAACTATATTGAACGAGCTGACATTCCCATATTGGTGGTGTTCAGTCAATCGGAAAGCGCTGGGGAATGGACAGAAGAGGAACATAAAGGGAAAGCTCAGACAGGAGAATCAGGGACTTAAAGAAACTTGTCACAGATTTCAACACACTGCTGGCCCTGATCATTTTTACCAAGGTTTATACCAAGGTTTACAGAAACATACTGCATGCACAGCAAGCCTGAGGAAACTCATGTGTCCGTCTTAGTAAGAAATATAGGATAAATTGTTGGTAGAAAGCTTCCAGTGGGACCAATTTTCTCTGAGTGAAAAGCCAAGCATTCCGTAAATCATTTTACCCACATAGCCTTTTCTCTGTGCACCAGGAACAGTGAAAATCTGGGACTTTGGCAGTGGGCAAGAGATGAAAGTGTTGCCTAAAGGGAAAGAATGGAAGGAGGAAGAGCACTGGGTGAAACGTCTGATTTTCCTCAAAGCTCAAGAAAAACAGCAGAACTTGATCCTTGCCTTGGAGCGCAACGGAGCTATCAAAATCATGCAGGTAGGTTTACAGTCCTATTTTGTTATTTGTACTGTTGGTGCTCTTCTTGGGAAAGCCGAATGAGTCAGTGGATAATCCGCATTTAAGTCCTCTCTTGCCAGCCAGCTGAACACAGTATTTGTCTATCAACCTTCAAGTGAGGTTTCTCATTAACTTTGTCCAGGCCCATGCAATGAACAGTTACCTGGGCACAGCATCCAGTCCATCAAGCTTCAACGATTAGTCAGGACTCCAAAGTGGGTATCAGAAAGGTTCACTTACAAACACCTGCCACTTCTGACTGCTCATCTGCTCATTTGGGAATAATTCATGGCTTCCCAGAATGGCTGCTTGTTAGCAGGCTCTGTGCCTTTTAAACTATAATGTGTTCTGAGATAGGCATGTCTCTTTTTCAGTTTGTCATCAAAATTGTTTTATTTATTTTAAGGTTAACAATGCAATCTGCTCAAGGCTATTTTGGAAGGAATGAGATAGGCTAATTTATTTTTCCAGTGGATTTCTGACTACCTAGGAATGTTAATGCCTTCTTCAAATTTAAAAAGACTAGGTCATTTATTTGGCTTAGTGGATCTTATCCTGTCACCTCAAACTCCACGACTCATTGTCTTCATTATTCCCCATTCTGAGAGTTAAGATCTGAAAACAAATCTTGAATAGGACAGCAATCATGGCATACTAGCATTGAGTAAGATGACTGATGACCTTACAGATAGAATAAAGGAATGAAAAGCTTCCCTGGTTCAATACATTCTGCCTTTGATGTCTGCGCAATCCAAAACAACACTACAGAAAGGAATTTCCTAGTAATACTCTGACACACAACAATATGTTGATTTTAAGTTAGTACAACCAGATACCCTTCCTAACAGACAATGTCTGCTGTTACACACTCCTTTTAACTCTTAAACATTCTCACTCTTTTTTTAAAAGCTATAAAAGTAGCATGTAATTGTCCTACGTCAAAATTGTTTTTCATTTTACTGTGGCATTTTTCTCTTTGATAATTCTGATTCCCTATTCAGAATCTGTAGATTGAGCTTGATAACAATCAACAACCTCTCTTATTCATAAATACAGGCTAATATATATCCATTTGCTCCAAGTCCAAATCTATCCAGTTGCACCAAAACAATTTATTGAAAAGTCTGTTCTTGTCCCACAAGCTTGTTCTGGCACTTTCATCTATGGACTCGGTTTTGTTCCATTAGTCTACTCACTTTTCCCTAAGCCCAGATTTCATTGCGTGCTGGGTTATTTTGACTGTGGCCTGAGATGAGGGTACATTCCTCTTAACTGGATGTGTTTGTTTCTGCCAGATGCCTCATGGAACTACATTTGCCTGTTGCATTTATTTGTACACAAACTTTCATGACTAACACTGTATTTCAGTTACTAGGTACTCTGAAGAGGGAAGAAGAGGAATCATATTATTGAGGGATAGATAGAGCTTAAGATATGAGAAAGTTGGATGATAGGTATATTGATATGTTCTGTTTTTCTCTCTTTTAAAAACAGCTCAAAATAAAATAATTTAACTGTGCATGTACTCACTGGATTTCTGTTAAAGGGCAAGGAAGATGATATTTTCCTCACTGTGATATGGGAGCTGCCTGATGCCATGCCTTATTTCCAGAATGGGATTCACGTGGTGCATCTGGAGATGTCTACTAGAGACAGGAACATGGCTATTCCTTTCCCAGATGTCAAATTAATAGTTGAGAAAAAGTTTCCTCATCACACTACTGTAAGTTTTTTATTTCTTTATTTTAAATGTTCACTTTTGTTATGGAAAATTAAAATTAATAAGTATAGAAAATAATGAATTTTTCTATATACTGTTTTTTGGACTCGGGACTACTGTGTGCATGGTCAAACATTCTTTAATCCCTTTTCCTCTCCATGACTAACATCAACAAATGTTGAAGTAAATCCTATACATTATGTCATTTTATCTATAAATATTTCAGTATATCTCTCTAAATAATAATGAATCGCAGGGCTGACGTTGTGGTGTAGCAGGTTAAAGGTACTGCCTGTGATACCAACATTCCTTATGGGTGCTGGTATGATGTTCCAACTGCTGTACTTCCCATCCAGCTCCCTGCTAATGGCCTGTAAACAGCAGCAGAAGATAACCCAAGTGTCTGGGCCCCTGCCACTCTCGTGGGAGACCCAGATGAAGCTCCTAGTTCCTAGCTTTGGCCTGGCCCAGTGTTGGCCATTGCAGCCATTTGGGAAGTGAATCAGCAGATGGAAAATCTGTCACTCTTTCAAATAAATAAATAAATAAATCTGTTAAAAATGAATATGAAAAATTATAATTTCATTATTTATGAACTATTTCAAAAATAATTTACAAGTTTTAATATCATTATATATTCAGTCGGTGAGAGATCTTCCAAAAGTTCATGAATATTTATATTAAGAAAAATCTATGATTTCAAAACTTTTATGCAGCAAAATAAATTTATCTTTTAATTCCATTTTGAATTAACTTTTTGAAGTATCCTGAAGTATGGACTCATTACATCATTTTTATTTTTAAAATTTTTTACTGAAAGTCAACAACAGGAGTCACTGTGTACTTACTTCTCATGTGGGATCTGTCCTTAGTGTGTTGTCCAATGTAAAGTAATGCTATAACTAGTACTGAAACAGTATTTTACACTTTGCATTTCTGTGTGGGTGCAAACTGTTGAAATCTTTACTTAATATATACTAAATCAATCTTCTGTATATAAAGAGAATTGAAAATGAATCTTGATGTTAATGGAAGGGGAGAGGGAGCGGGAGATGGGAGGGGTGTGAGTGGGAGGGAAATTATGGGGGGGGGAAGCCATTATAATCCATTAACTGTCCTTTGGAAATTTATATTTACTAAATAAAAAAACAAATAAATATACTTTAAAATAAAATTTTATATAATAAAAAAAATTTTACTGACTGATTTATTTGAAAGGTAAAGAGCCAAAAATAGAGACACAGATCCCCATCTGCCTGCAAAATTGACTACACAAATGCCTGTAACAGCTAAGGCTGGGTTAGGCTGATATTGGGAGCTGGGACTTTACGTCTCCCACATACGTGTCAGGAACCCAAGTAATTGAGCCATCTCCTGCTGCTCCCAAGGGAGCAGGAAGCTGGAAGTAGAGCTGGGATCAAAACTAGGCACTCTGGTATGGGATGCAGGTGTACCAAAATGTCTCAACTGCCAAACACCTGCCTTCTCAGAAAGACAACAAAATTACTAAAAATATTAGAGCTGAAACAGCTGAATATTTTGCTTGCTCTGCAGTTCCCTTTGTCCTTAGCATATAGGAGTGTACTGTCAAACTACTGTGCTTTAAAATTACTTGAAATAATTCCTTGTGCCATCAACTGTACACAGGTTAACTTGCTTAATTTCTTTTTATTTGTTGCTTTTTGAATTTGAATTTTGTCATTATATTGTTATATATTTAATATATATTATTATATATATTTAATATATATTTAAAATAATCTACAAAAGAAGCCCCACTCTGAGATATCAAACCAAGGAGTAGTTTAGTTTCTATTCCTGTCTTTCCCTCTTGTTCTCTTCCTAACCTAAGTAATTAACCTTTCAGTTTTAGGTTTTTGACTTGTCTCTAATGTTTTTTTTTTAAATATAATCAAATGCTTTTCTATATTTGGTTGCTTCTCACCCTTTTTAAGCTAATGATATAAAACTATACAACACGTCTTCAAATGTTATTGGAAAATGAATATTACATTCAAAATCCTTGTAACAAAATAAATTTTAACTCCAGTTTTTCATGAACTTTTAAAAGTATCCTTATGTCTATTATTCTATTTTTACTTGTTTTATTTAATAATATATTCTGGAGATCATTATAAAGCAATATTTAGAAATATTCATCCTTTAAAAAGATTGTGGTAAAATATATATAATGTAAATTTTGCCATCCCAAACATTTTTAGATGTGCAATTGGTGGCATTAAGTATATTCACATAGGAGTGTCCATCCCCAGTAATACTTGAAACTCTATACCTGATATGCAGTAACTTCCCAACTGTTCTTCTCTTAAAGCCCCTGGAAACCACCATTCTATTTTCTGTATCTATGAATTAACCTACACTAATACCACATACAAGCAAAAATATACAGGCTTGTTTCACTTAACATAAAATCCTCAGAGTTTAACCATGTTGTAACATGTATCAGAATTTCCTTTATTTTTAAGGCTGAATGCTACATATTCTATTCTATGTATATACCACACATTATTTTATTCATCCATTGATCAGTGCTTGGGTTGCTTTTTCACTTCTTGGTTACTGATAATAATGCTTCTGTGGACATGGTTATAAACATTCATCTATTTTTTGAAGGCTCTTTAACATTTCATCTGAATGGATGCACCATAGTTTATTCAACTAGTCCCCTGTGGGTGGACATTTGGATTATTTCTTACTTTTTCCAATTAAACATAATGCTATAGCAAATATAGTGTTATATATGTGTGTATGCATAGATTCATAGTCATATTTTAAAAAAAATTAACACTGTATCTTTGGGATAGATTCCTAAAAGAGGAACTGAGGGTCAAAAAGTAAATGCTAATATAATCTTCCTAGATATTGCCAACTTCTACAGTTGAACAATTCTGCACTTTCACTAACAACATGAGGATAAGTACTTCCTCACAGCCTTGCCAAAATTTTATATTGTCACGCTTTTAGATTTATGAGTACAAAATCATAATTTGGTAAATTTTAATTTGCAATTCTCTTGTAATGAGTTAGCAGAGCATTTTTTAATAGGTATATGGGACCTCTGTTCATATCTTTTTTCTCTTTTTTATCTAGGTATTCTTTTTCTTTAAATGTTTCAAAAGCTTTTATACATCAGTTATATTAGGAAACATATACATATGTATACACAAATATATATGTATGTGTATATAATTAGGTAAATGTATTAGGTATATTGGCCTTTTGTGATGTAAGTTTCATTTTTATTTTTCCAATTATATATTAGTGTTTTATTTTTAGTTAAAATCATTTCAGCCATGGCAATACTAACATCTGGGAGGCCAAGTGCAGATGAAGTTTCTGGTTAACAGGCACTATTATTTTGGAAATAATAATCACAAAAGTTCTCCAGGCTTTCCACAAGAAGTCTATTGTCCCTCTAAAAATAGCCCATCTATCTATGTAGATAAAATAACTCATCTCCCCAAAAATAGCTAAGTCTTCCCAATTCTCCTAGATTTTAACAATAGAGAAAGTTTGGAGTGTGTCAAAAGGTCACAAAATGGTTGTTCACTTTTTATGGCCATTATTATTTCACCATTTTTGCAACTTACAATCTTAAATAAATTTTTTAAATGTCAGTTAACAAAATTTCAGCTCTCTCTTTTCATAGGTTTTATTTTTTTTAAGTTTCTCATTTGCACTGGTGACATCAACTGATCAGTTAAAGACATCTATTTTGTGGTTGATGTTTTAAAAATCTATAAAAAGAAAGTGTACCATCAGACTGACTTTCTTCAGGATAGTCTCTGAATTCCAAAATTATAAGTAGACTGAAAGGAGCCAGCCTTATTTCTTCCAACAGAGAAAAAGGAAGCAATTTCTGACAAGTACTACATAAGATAATTCTTCAGAAGTTACAGAGCCAGGGTCTTTGTCCTGGGATCCATGGGCTTCCTTCCATGAGCAGACTTCTGGGGAGTCTAAACCGACTCTGAATTTGTATGTAAAACTTCTTTCCTGGGAAGTACAAAGTTCATGGCTTTTTCTGTCCCAGAATTTCATTATAAAACATTTTCAAACACACAAAAAGTTTGAAGAATTATACAGTGATTATCCATATATCCCTCCACTTAAATTTTAATAACATTTTGCAATATTTGCTTTATCACCATCATTTAATCCAACTTGTTTTTAAAATCTATTTCTAAGTAACTTGAAGGTATTAATACATATCACCCCTAATCATTTCGCTCTGTGCATCATTAACTAGGGTTGACTGTTCATGGTTTTGTTTATAGTGAAATTGACATAAAATGAACAGAACCTAAGTGTGCTATTCACTGAGGTTGAAGAGGAGCAACCCAAACCCCATCAAGATAAAGAACATTACCACCACCCAGAAAGTTCCTCGAAGCCCCTGCCTAGTCAGTACCTGAGCCTCCCCAAAAAGGCAACTGCTGTTCTAATTTTTTCACCATAGATTTTTTTTCTTACTGCTCTAAAGCATCATATAAGTTAAATCACATGGTATAGACTGAAGGTTTTTCTTTCATGTAGCAAAATCCTTGTGGGATTTGCCCACATCCCTGCAAATATTAGTAGATCATTCTTTTTTATGCCTGTGTTGTATTTCACCATGGTGTAAATATATATTCTTGAGGTGTTTTTAATCAGGAAAAGGTTAATCACTATTATCTACAGTTTTATTTCATTTCAAAATATCTCTGAAATACACACACACATACACACACACACACCCAGAATTGGACAATTTAATTTAACATCTTTTCAGAAAGCTATTTTTGTGACATGCTTACACCTCCTTGATTTGGAAGCAAGAAGTATTCAGAGCACATGCTTAACGTTGAAGATAGAGAAGTGGAGATGTTCCTCTGTGTCTGTAAAAATTTAGACCAACTGATTTTTTAAAGAATTGCTTCTTTGAAAGGCAGAATGACAGAGAGAGAGAAAGAGACAGCTAGACAGACAGACATATCTTTCATCTGTTGGTTCACTTCCCAAATGGCTGAAATGACCAAGTCTGGGCCAAACTGAAATCAGGAGCCTGGAAATCCATCCATATCTCCCACTTGGGTGGCAGTGGCCCAAGTACTTGGGCCATTATCTTTTGCTTTCCTTGGCACATTAGCAGGAAGCTAGATCAGAAGTGGAGTATTTGGGACTTAAACTGGCACTACAGTATGGGATGTCAGCATTGTAAGCATTGGTTGGACCCAGTGGACCACAACTCTAGCCCCCAACTGATTTTTTTAATGAAACCGTTCATTAACTGTCGCTCCCCCTCTTCGTGGAGGAACGACACAGGACCCTGCACTGTTCTTTCTTCTGCTCGGCCCTCCCCGGGTTTGCTGCTGGTTCTTCCCGGGTTGGCTACCGTCCCTTCCACCTCCGTGGAAGGGCGGTTCCCCCTAGCCACTTTCCCCACTTCCGCAGGAGAGTGGCACACCGCCGGCCGGCTCTCTCAAGGGCTGCACAGGTGTTCCTTCAGATGTTCCTCTTAGATGTTCCTCATGCATGTTGTCTCTCTCCTCCTTTATAGTCCTCTTCCACCAATCCCAACTCTGCTACCCACACGCCGAGTACGCTGCCCTCCTCCAATCAGGAGCAGGTCCTGCTGTTTATTGGTTGAACTGGAGGCAGCTGTGTAGAAGCTGTTTCTCCCTTCTCAGCGCCATATTGTGGAAGAGCAGATGCATAGAATAAGTCTTAATTCCAGTAACTTAGTCTAGTCCGAGTTGCTCCCCACAATTAACCTTATTTAGTTACTTTAATTTTAGCTCGAACCCCAGAACTTTTCATCTTTTTCAGGGATAAGTGGTCAGGTATTAAAGAATGCAAAAAACTCTTAAGTTATAGAGGGAGGAACTGAAGAAAGTCTTACTTTTTCCCCTCAGCTGTTAATGAAATAACCATAACATAATTTAATAAAGAATAATATAGCTTGTTTTATGGCACATTAAAACTATCATTTTATCACAAGGCACAAATATACTGCATTATTTTCCTTACATTGAAACAAATACCACTTAAACACTGCAATATGAATTCCATTCATTGCTAAATTAAATGTTTAGAGGTATTATTCTTAGGTCAAAGGACTTTGAAATCAATATATATACAGTCACCTTGACATAATAATATTTCATGTAATGTGCACAAAAGATAGAACAAAATTCATTTCACAAAGCTTGGGTCTACTTTTAATTTTACACATTATTGGAAACAGTGAGTTTTTGATATATGAAAACTTGATTATAGCCAATAAAAACAGAAATATGCACAATGAGTAGAACCCCAGACAGTTGGTAAGTAATTGCATAGGTAATGAAAAATGATTGCTTTGGGGTAAAATTGCAAAAACTATAGAACAAAGTATTGAAGTACAATGAATACCTTTTAGACTTAGTATACATTATCTCTGAGTTTGAACACTTATTTTTGTATTCATCATAATCAGCACTGTGGCACTTCCTGTTGCAATAGCCTTGAAAATTACTCTATAAATACAGTTTGCAAAAGACACATAGAAAAAATTGATTGTGCATAGTTCTTTGCCCAAAACTCTTTCATTTATGAAGCACTTTTTTAAAAGATTTATTTATTCACTTAAAAGTCAGAGTTATACAGAGAGAGAAGGAAAGACAGAGAGAGAGAGAGAGAGAGAGAGAGAGAGAGATCTTCCATCTGCTGGTTCACTCCCCAGTTGGCTGCAATGGCTGGAGCTGTGCCAATCTGCAGACAGCAAACAGGAGCCAGGAGCTTCCTCCAGGTCTCCCACAGGGGTGCAGGGGCTCAAGAACTTGGGCCATCTTTCACTGCTTTCCCAGGCCACAGCAGAGAGCTGGATCGGAAGTGAAGCAGCTGGGACTTGAACCGGCGTCCATATGGGATGCTGGCCCCTGAAGCACTTTTTATTGAATACTAAGTATGTATCTAATGCACTCTTAGCCAATAAATCTTGAGAATGCCAAGATTAATTAGGTATGGTGCCCACACTATAGGAGTACAGCAGAGAACTTAAAGGGCTGGGGGAGAGTAGGAGATCCCTGAAGAAGATAATTGTTGAAATGGATCTAAAGACTTATCAGAAAGGTTGAGAAAGGTAGTTTGCAGAAGGAGATGAAAAGACAAAGTAAATCCCAAGAAGAAGAGCGAAGATGAACAAAGTCATGGGGGGAGGGTAAGATATCACTTGTTTTGTGTAGGATAACTACAAATATTTCTGTGCAGCCAGAGTAATACTTGGAGTGGTAGAAGATGAAAAGAAACAAATTGGTATGGACTTGATCATGCTCACAAAGGAGTTTTGGATTCCTATTAAAAAATGGGAATCCACTGAAGGGCTTTATTATTTTTTAAAATGTTTATTTATTTGTGTGTGTGTGTGTGTATGAGAGAGAGAGAGAGAGAGAGAGAGAGAGAGAGAGAGAGAGCTCCCACCACACCAGCTGGTTCATTTCCCAAATGCCCACAACAGCTGGGTCTGAGGCTGGACCAGGCCAAAGCCAGGAGCTAGGAATTTGATCTGAATCTCCCCTATGGGTAGAAAGGACCCAACTACTAGAGTTATTACATGCTATCCACCAGGTGCATAAGGAAGCAGAGCTACAATTTGAACCCAGGCGTTCCAATAAGGAATTTGGGTGTCCAAAGTGGTATTTTCACAGCTGTGCCTGACACCTGCCCCTCACAGATTAACTTTAAATGACATGCTCAGATTTTCATTGTGAGTAGTTCACTTTTGATGCTGCCTGAATGACAGACTGGATGGACCAGTAAAAGGATGGAAGATTCAGGCAACAGGCTACTGTTTCCCTTGAAAAATATAGAGTCATGGTAGTCGTGATGGTGAGGAAGGAATGTTCTCAGCAAACATTTATGCGGTAGAAGAGGCAGTAACTGATTGTAACTCATTATTGATGATGCCACGAAGTTACAAGAGGAACCAAGGACTGCTCCAGGAATATGCTTCCAAGAGATGATGGCTTAGACATATTTGCTTTGAGCTATCTGTAAAATTTCTAAGAACTAATTAAATTTTCAAGCCTGAAACTTCTGAAGGGAGGAATGTTATTAAGCCATTAACATTGGGATCATTATTACTAAAACATAAGAGAATGAGGTTGCCCAGAAAAAGTTGGAAAAAAAATAAGGGGGAATTCAAGCCTAATGATATTAATATTTAAAAGGTTGGCAGAATAAGAAATTACCAAGTAGGAAACAGCAAAGGAAGGGTAATCGATATAGGTAAAACCAGTACAGCCTGGTGTCAAGAATGTCAAAAGAGGAGGGAGTTTCAGGAAGGCAAGGACCACTGAGAGCAGCAATGGGATTGACCTCTAATCTTACTTGCATAGATGTCCCTCTCCCATGTTCCCATCAAGTGTTTTACATGCCTATGATATAGCACTTTCAAATTGTACAGCAATCAACCATCTATATGAATGCTTTAAATTATAAAAAGTTTCTTGACTCACATATATCCTATTTGACTTTGTTGTCCAAGAACTTAACATTATACACCCAGCCAATACCCTAGGCAAGACAATTGAAACGTTTTCAAATAGAAACTGATAATAGGAGTCCTTAATGATACGTAGAAAAAGCTTCCAAAGAGTAGTATGCAGCAGAAACTTTAGTTGCTAAGGAAAGAAAAGTCAGGAAGTGGGAATAGTTAACATAGAATATGCTTTCACGATATGCATTTCACATAGTAATCAAGATCCCAGATGGAATGCCTGCATCCCATATCACAATGTCTGTGTTCCAGTCCCAATTCCAGCTTCCTGCTGATATGGAATTTGGGAGTCAGAAGGTGATAGCTCAAGAAACTGGTTCTTGCCACTGGTGTGGAAGACCAGGATTGAGTTCCCAGATTCTGACTATGGCCTAACTCAGCCCTAACTGGGGAGATTCTCTCTCTCTCTCTCTCTCTCTCTCTCTCTCTCTCTCAAAATAAATAATAAAACATATTTTAAGGAATAATATTTCAATAGTTTGAATAAAAGGAAAACATATAAAGGTAATTTAATGACTGGTAAAGAATAAATAAATTTAGAGAGAAAGCAGAGATTATTTTCATTTTAATGCATTCTGAAAGTTAAAATGTTTTAATGCCAAGGAAATATAGATTTTACTCAATTTCCATGCTCTAGTGTTTAAAACATCATAATAATACATTTTCAACTTAATGAAAATTACAAAGTATGGACCCAGCACCTGTACTGTCATTAGACAATGTACTCATGACACTCATTGTCTACTCTCTTCTTTCTTCAGAACCCTGCCATTAGTACTGAAGTCAACTGTGTTAATTTGTTACAAGTAGAAGGATATAATTTGATAGCTGTTGGAACCGTAAATGGTGTGATCATCTTATGGAATTTTGTAACAGCTACTGTCAAAGAAGTGTAAGTCTTCCCTAAACAATATAAAATTTGCACAGCAGAAGACCCAAGTTAATGTATAATACACCTAAAAAAAGAGAGAAAGAAATAAATGAAAGGGGTGACACCTCCTAGTGGAGGCTTTCCTGGAGATTAGATTATGTTCATGAAGAGACTGTGTTCTAAGTGTCTAAATTCCAGAATGATATGAACAAGGAGCACCTTAAGTGCTGGTATTCAAAGACCTTTATTCTTTTCACATTAGTATATGCTTTTCATGTATAATCTTGTCCAAATTTATGACCTCAGCAAACATTTAAAATACATAATAATTTCAAACACTAATCTCCACAGAGATTCAAACATGCATATCCAATTGTCTACTGACAAATTTCCATCTGAATCCAGCAAGATCCTTAAAGCCCCATATGCCCAAGATGTCTTCCCAACCTACATCTCCCCTACATTTTTCCTCTTTCTATATTCAACACAACCACTATCTTTCTAGCCACTGAAATCAAATGGTGAGAGGCATCATCAGTGCCATTTCCTTCTCATTCAGCATGCCCGGTGCATCCAGTTCAATAAATGATGTTAATAAGGGCCACTTTGGTAGATGTGATTCTATTTCTCAACCGATTAGATTTTCTCCATGCCAAATCCTGTCTTTGCCCTTCCCCAGCCAGTTACTTCCAAATGCTCTTTCTACTGGTTGTAAAGGAATGAATGTAATATTGTATTATTTGTATGGATGGACTGTAAATAGTAAGCCCTATCCCATTGTGTAACTGGGATGGGTGCAAGGGCCATGGGTGGACACAGTACATAAGGATGGTCTGTAAAACTTGCCTTCAAGGTAAAATATGGCCAAGGACCTTACCCATAAATGAAAATACAATCAAGTTTAGCATTTAGGGAATGGGAAGAAGTATAAGGGAGGTGAGAAGAGGCAGCTGGAAATGACAAGGGAAAAGAAGAGGGAGGAACAGAAGAAAGCTCTGCCTCTCTATTATAGTACCCTATATATCAGTAGTCTGCTTGTACCCCAGGTGCCTTTCCCATCCATGTCTGAGTCATTACTTTCAGCCAACATTTGAGAGAAAATAATTCTTTCATGTTTGGACTCTGGATTTAGTTCTTTTGAGCCTTTAGCTGAAATAGCTCTTTGTGCAGACCCTCCTTCAGCACCTCCGCCTCTACTTCTAGAATTCCTGCCATCCTTCTGTTACTTCTCTTCCATTCTTGCCCATAGGCCTTTCTTGCAGACTCCACACCTGTCACTTGATACTGATATTTACTTGCACTGCACAATTCCTCACACACTTAGTAATACAGTCTTTACACTGTGTCAGCTTCTTATATCTCATTACTAAGAAGGGAAAGAAGGTATACTAAAAAGACTATTATCAGTGTCATGGCCTAAAATGAGTATTGATCCTAATTGTGGATGCCAGGCATTTTGCCAAGGGTGCATGCAAATCCAACACTGAATCAGAGAAAAGTAAGTAACTATAATGTGTCATACAGAATATCCCTTTCACACAGACAGTTAATTATATAGAAAAATTAATTTAGAATCACTGGGGTATTTCTGAAAAACATAGAATTTAGTACAAAACTGTCTGAGGTAATTTGGGACAAGCTTTAAAGGTTCTAATAGGAAAAAGGTTTTCATATCCATGATGAAGGTCATTCTTATGGCTACCTGAAATGTTGCCTAAGATCCCATTACCAGTCAGGAACCCTTCTCTTCATGATCTACCCCCTCCCCATGCATTTTGGGCCCAAACTTATTATTTGCTTGACAATTAATAGCACTTCCCTCTTCAGGTCATCTGTATAACAGAAAATCCAAGAAGTTTGAGTACAACATGTCATCAAGCCCATGGGCTGCTCCTTTGAGCTTGGTGCATTCCAGGCTACTTTTTCATCCATGAGCTCAATTTAGCAGAAATAATTTCCATGAAAAGAGGGGTGTTTCGCTCTCAGGTCCATTTTCTACAAGGAATGGTAAATGTGGCTTTAAGAACCAAGCATGAAGTGCCAGTGTGAGTGGTTAGAGACTATTGCTTCTTCTCAAGAAACTGCCTAGGGAGGTTTATGGTTCCTTGCAATACGGGTCAACAGGAGACTTGATCAGGCAGAGCACAGCTCTCACTGAATGCCCTTTCTTCTCTACTCTATCATAAGTTCCTTGAGGGTAATAGCCATATTTTATTCAAAATTTTCACTCTGCTTATTCAAAGAGTAGAATTATATTCTCAAAAAAGTATGAAACATACCAGGACTTTCTCCACAGGACTAAATAAACTCACTCTGTGAGCTATAGGTAGGAAGACTGGACCAGTTCACTGAATTAAAAGACTTTTAAATCACTAAGTGACCACCTTAAGAGTAAGCAGAGGCTTATTAAAGAGGATATGTTCAAATTCTATACCTTTTGGGTTTTCTTTGCATATTCATAACAATTTAGGAGCTGATTAACTCTGTAGGGGATCCATGTTGTAAGTAAAACATTACTTAATTTTTGAATGTTTATCATATAAATGTGTACTTATTTCAAGGTACCGACCCGAAGATTCCTTCAGTGTGGACAGTAACGTGGATCCCAAACACTTAAGAATAAATGATATACTGTTCCTCTTTCGTACACCTGAATGTGAAAGGTAATTCAAAACTGTCTGATCAAGTAATACTGTCTAGGACTATGTGAGTGACAAAAGAGTTCTTTTCATTAGACTGCACTAATGAAGAAACAACTGGAGGAAGAAATAAGTTCAGTTGACTTCTTGGATTCGACTTTCTTCCCTGTTACTATTTGTACGTAGAAATGCTGGTCATCAGGGATCTAATGGGCTGTGGGTTTCCTTTACCCTGGCAGCTTCATGGCTCATTTTACCACAGTGGCAGAAATGGAAAATGCTCATGTGACCACACTTTTGGTCAAAATGTAATGCTATGAGCACTGATGCCAGGAAAAGGAAGGACTTGCGGGGCAAATGTAGAAAGTCAGACGGGAGATTTCAAACACCAGCCACTATAACTGAGCAAGCCCCATCCATTCGTTTAGAGAACAGAGGACTGACTGCCAGCTGTTAACAGGCATTTGAGTGAATCAGTAGATCAGTACTTGCTTCTGTCTCATAAATAAATATTTCTAAATGCTTTTAAAAAAATGAATTCTTAATAAAAAGCACCTTTTCTATTTATATTTGCTTGAGAACTCTGATTTTTCAGGTAGTACACAGTGTTAAACACATCTTTGGAGAGAAATGCAAAAGGTCTGTACTAGTCTGGAATTGCCCATTGGTGAGCTGGAATAGAACACCTCCCCTACCTGTCAGCTGGAAATTTCATCAGAAGTATTCTGAGAACACTGGAGGACTCATTATGTGTACACGTGTGCCATCATCCTAAGTCCCTTAGCCCATTAAAAGCAGGGCATGGCAGAGGCAGGATCAGGCCATAACTAAATGCTACAGCAGCTTTTCAGCCTTGTCAGTCTCCATCTACATATCCCCACATTTTGAGTGACAGATTCCCAGGACTAAATCTTGCCTTGGTAGTGGAGCAAGCCAGACTTTTCAGACCCAGGTAGCAGTAAACCTTAATTGCTGAGTTTCCTCAATACTACACTGATGAATGTTTGCTACACAAAATTTAATATGTGATTTGTTTTATGAGTGGTTCAGAATCCACCCATGAACAAGGCAGCAGTCGTCTGAATTTGAAGTAAAGAGCACCCTCTGAGTGTGACTGTATGTTAACTCTTCTCTGTGGATCTCCTCCTTCCCCTGTAGATCAAGTCAAGATTCCATTGGCTCCTCAAGCCAGTGTGACTCTAGCAAGGGTCCACAGAGTTGTAAGGTAAGAACAGAAACAGTGTCTTCCTGTCACATGATTGCTCAAAAATAGTGACATCGTGGGGTTGTGAGTTAAGCCACAGCATGGGATGCCTATATCCCATACTGGAGTGCTTGGGATTAGTACTGCCTCTGCTTTTAATCCAGCTTCCTGCTAATACACACCATCAGGGACAGCAAGTAACCACTAAGTAATCAACTGCTTAGGTCCTTGCCACCCATTTGGGAGATACAGATGGAGTTTCTGGCCCCTGACTTTGGCCCGGCTCAGCCCTGGCTGTTGCAGGCACAAGGAGAGTGAATCAACGGAAGGATGATCTCCCTCTCCCCCTCTCTCTTTCTCTCTCTCTGTCACTCTGCCTTTCTTTTTTTTTTTTTTTTTAAGAAGTCCTTTTTTTTTATTTATTTGAGAGGTAGAGATATGGACAGTGAGAGACAGAGAGAAAGGTCTTCCTTCCATTGGTTCAACTCCCAAATGGCCGAAACAGCCAGAACTGTGCCAATCCTAAGCCAGGAGTCAGGTGCTTCTTCCTGATCTCCCATGTGGGTGCAGGGCCCAAGCACTTGGGCCATCCTCCACTGCCTTCCCGGGCCACAGCAGAGAGCTGCACTGGAAGAGGAGCAACTGGGACTAGAACTGGCACCCATATGGGATGCTGGCGCTGCAGGTGGAGGATTAACCTAGTGAGCCACGGCGCTGACCCCTCTGCCTTTCAAAAAATATAAATAAATACATCAACATTAAAAATTAGCGATACTGAGCATCTGAGCCCCTCGTTTGGTGGAAGGAAAGGGTAGAAAACTCATGTACCTAAAACCTTTTTGTTTTCTTTAAAAATTGGTTTCTAAATTGTTTTCTTCACTATTTCAAATTTTTTTCAAGGCTTTTACATCCATGAATCATGTATACATGATCACAAAGAGAATAAATTATGCATGTTATTTTATATTCATCAAATAATTTTCAACTGTCTCCTTGGCTAAAAACTAAGTATTATCCTATTTCCCAGGGAGAAAAGATAGCAGATCATTTAGTTATATTATAATCCATTATGTAGTGCAGTAGTTTTCAAATTATCCTCTCAGTTCTAATTTGTGTATTTTTACAGATTACGTTTCTAGTTAAGATTTTGTTTCAAGGAAAGTTTTCACAGCAAAATAATTTTAAACCACTAGCATGGTGGAAGAATAAAATTTTATGGATATAAAAGCCAGACAGATTTGTACATGAATTCAAGTCATCCATTTATTACCTGATTAGCTTCCAAGATGTCACTAAATCTGTTTCCTTCCTCATCATAAAAAGAAATAAAAAAGAAAAAGTTGCCTGTGTATTAATAGAATTACAGATAATATACACCAAGACTGGACATGAGTTAGGCATTGAATTATTCTAATTATGATGATACTTCTGAGTCACTAAGAAAGTATTATTATGGACTCCCTATTTATGAAACTGAAAATCCCTCCAATACATTTTTTTCAAAGAGTTCATTGTAAAAAATGTTAAAAGTAATACAAATTCAACCATTATGAGAATCTAGTCACCCAGTATATCTCATTATAATGTCAGACATATTTTTTCTCTCCTAATTCAGGGAAGCAGACAAAGTATACATGACGGTGATGTTAAAGGTCAGTGTGAAATCACCTCTCTACAATAAAACAACTCTTTTGCAATGGGGCTTTAGGTGATAGAATACTCTTAATGAATATACTCATACGCTGTTTTTAAAACAAAGTGTTGAGATGCTATAGATTCTATAGTCTAAAAGGTAGAATTTCCTTTTTTTTTTTTTTTTTTGGACAGGCAGAGTGGAGAGAGAGAGAGAGAGAGAGGCATTTCTTTTCCATTGGTTCACCCTCCAATGGCCACTGCGGTTGGCGCACTGCTGCTGGCGCACCGCGCTGATCTGAAGCCAGGAGCCAGGTGCCTCTCCTCGTCTCCCATGTAGGTGCAGGGCCCAAGCACTTGGACCATCCTGCACTGCACTCCTGGGCCACAGCAGAGAGCTGGCCTGGAAGAGGAGCTACCGGGACAGAATCCGGAGCCCCGACTAGGACTAGAACCCCGTGTGCCGGCGCCGCAGGCGGAGGATTAGCCTAGTGAGCCGTAGCCCAGCCAGCATTTCCATTTTGATGATGCCTTTTTAAATACTAATTCTGGGTGTTAAAACAAATCCAAACATCACTGAGATTCTTAGTCTCTAGTCCATTTTCCTAAAACTTATACTGGTTTATAAGTCATTCTGGATGTGAAAGACATACTGGATGCATATGTAGGCCTTAGCTGTAATGTATAATATGGCAGCTTTTGTAATAGAATCAAAAATATGCCTTTCAAAAATTTCCAATGACCCAGAATTCCATTAGAAAAACAAATTTGTTCTCTTTACTGTTTGAAGTTCTCTGGTGTTTAAAAAAAATACAAAGGAACAATGTGTTTGTGTTTTTGCTATTTTTTCCCCGCATAAAATTTGGAATTCTAAATATTGTAAAACTGTGGTACCTCATTAATTTTTCTGATAGGTGAACATACAGATGTTACAGTGAGAGAGACACATGCAGTGGACAAAAAACATTTCGGAGCTGCCAACTTAATAGAATCTCAGCCACCCATCCTTGCCACTGCTCATGAAGATGGACACCTCCGCTTGTGGACTATGGAGGTGACAGAGCCTGATATTTTCTGAAATAGGAAAGAATGAAAAAGATTAAAAAGAAAATTAGATGAATCTTAACCTTCTTCCAATGGCATTAATTCTAATATTTTTCAGTCTTCTAGCCAACTTGTTGGCCTCACAAACTGCATCACTAATAATGCTACTCAAACTTTCACTCAGCCAATTTCATAACTCAAGAGAAAAAAACTGACAAGAGTGCTAACTTAGCTATTTCAAATCTTTCTTTTGAGCTGTGAATATATGCCACTAAATACTTTATCAAATATTTAAATAGCATTAAAGGATATTAATGATGTACTATAGCAGAAAAACATAAAAGTACTAAAGATTTGCCAGATCCATTATATTATTAGTTCTCTAAATTATTGGAAGATGGTATTCGATTTTATTAAATGTACTTAAACACTTTAAAATGAAAAATTGACTTGGGGAGGAGGCTGGGCACAGTTTGAATAAGGAATTCAGAAGATTATGAAAGAAAGTATCTTGAATAGGCTGAGGATAATGACAATAAAATCTTCAGAGAGACAATAAAGTCTCAGGAAATGAGGAGAAGATTCAAAATATTTTTTCTCAAACTTGATGTTATTACCTAAGCTAGATAAAATATGTGAAAGTCATTCCTTGTGCTGAGTTACACGAAGTGCTGGGAAAAAAATATGAATTTGGATCTTTTGCAATCCCTCATCTTGCCCCAATATTCAAGATAGAAGCTTATGAAAAGGCAAATATTATTGTTGAAAACAACTGAGATCTCTTTAACCTGAGAAGAATGTTTAAGAGAAGAATATGTATTCTGAAGAAATATATGAAGAGTCATGTGCAAAAAGCAATCTGAAGTATAATCTATAATAGAGTTTAGATGTTTATAATTAATAGTTATCTATACCTTTAGATTATTTAATCTCAGGAGTCAATCCCTATTGATAGCTGCAAATTATTTTTATTACAAAGAAGATAATCATGTTTCAGAACTTGAGATAATTCTTGGGATGTAATATTTATAGAGTAATTCAATTCTGATATTAAGGTTTTATAGATTATCATACAAAAAGCATCATTTGCATTGTCCTCTATTTAGGGAAGGCTAATAAAAGATACACTACCTTTCACAAAACATTCTGCCATTCCTCTGGCATCACTGTATACTGATTCACGCACCAGGATGCTACTGACTGGAAATATGGGTAAGTTGTTACTCATATATTTAGCCACAGGCATTGTAACAACCTAAATAATATAAAAATGCTTATAAATACATAATCTTTATTGAGATGAGAGAAGATCTAAGATGTATGCTTAACCAGGAGAGAATGTCATGGGTAGCTTGCTTAATAAATAGAATACATGAATGTTGGGAGAACCTATTGGCATTCCTACCTCCTTATTTAGAGCAAGGCTTTCTGTCTCTTCTGTCTTAGATATAAATACATGGCTACCCATCCTCATACCTTACTTTATTGAGAAGAATACAGAGTTTTAACTTTGAACATTGAAAGTTAATAATAATTATTAAAGGGATAGTAATAATTATTAAAGGGAATGGTGACATATATTAGAGAGGAATTTTTTTTCTTCATGGAGGGGTGTATTTTGCTATAATTAATATAATTTATCTTAACTTTCATATAATACTGTTTTTTGTTCTTGCCTATTTTTCTTCTTCTATATTGTGAATTAAAAAATTTTGTGTATATATACATGCAGGTGCACATACATGTGTAAGACAGTTTCTAATTTTACCAGTGTTTAGGTTTTTTTTTTAAAAAAAAATCTGAATGAATCAGCATCTTTTCAGTTAAGGCAGAAAGCTTAGCCCACTGTAATTTTCTCTCTTCTCCACATGTACCCCTTCACTTGTTTGCTGATGTAATTTGTGAGCTGTATATCCAGAGTAGATCTGCTAGTATATTAATACTTCCATCATAACTTTTATGAACATTTTTCTCATTTCAAAATTTATTTTGTAAAAACCTCAACACCCTATATTGTACTACCAATTGTTTGAGTCTTTCATTCAGTACTATCATACATTTACAATGTTTATTTAAAGTTATCTCTATTTTACCTATTTTATTTGGTTTCAATGCTCACCATGAGTATTTTTATATTCTGATATGCTTTCTCTACACTTTTTGTTCTCATTTATCTGTCAACCTCTACGGTGTCTGCAAACAGTATTTGTGTTTATAGCAAACTAGTAGAGAAAGTTAAGATCAGGTAAATTTGTTCTTTTAAAGTAGCTTTAATGTTCTTGCATTCATTTCACCTACTATGCGGTAAACCTTTCCTAGCAAAAATACACAAAACTAAAATTTGGAGCTATTTACAGAATTCTCACAATATACCTCTATTAAGGTTACTCTTCTCTTTTCTCCTGCCCAATTTACTATCATATAGCCCATCCTCTTCTTCTTCTTCTTTTTTAAGATTTATTTATTTATTTGAAAGTTTTACAGAGAAGCAGAAACAGAGAGAGATGGAGAGAGAGGTCTTCTATCCACCGGTTCACTCCCTAAATGGCAGCAATGGCCAGAGCTGGGCCAATCTGAAGCCAGGAGCCAGGAGCTTCTTCCAGGTCTCCCATTCAGGTGCAGAAGCCCAAGGACTGGCGCCATTTCCACTGCTTTCCCAGGCCGTAGCAGAGAGCTGGATCAGAAGTGGAGCAGCTGGGACTCGAACTGGAGCCTGTATGGGATGCTGGCACTGCAGGCGGTGGCTTTACCTGCTACGCCACGGCACTGGTACCTCCATCCTCTTCTTTCTTTCTTTCTTTCTTTCTTCCTTTCTTCCTTTCTTTCTTTCTTTCTTTCTTTCTTTCTTTCTTTCTTTCTTTCTTTCTTTCTTTCTTTCTTTCTTCTTCTTCTTCTTCTTCTTTCTTTCTTTCTTTCTTTCTTTCTTTCTTTCTTTCTTTCTTTCTTTCTTTTGACAAGCAGAGTTAGACAGTGAGAGAGAGAGAAAGGTCTTCCTTCCGTTGGTTCACCCCCAAAGTGGCCGCTACAGCCGGCGCGTTGCGGCTGGCGCACTGCGCCAATCCGAAGCCAGGAGCCAGGTGCTTCCTCCTGGTCTCCCATGCGGGTGCAGGGCCCAATCCTCTTAAGAACTATGATTTTTACCTGTGAGCCAGAAAAATACAGTAGGAGTGGGCTTGCAACCCAATCTATCTTCATCCTTGTTATAAGTAAAGCAGACTTGGACTAGATTCAGGCCTTAGGTTTCCTTTGTCAGTGTGTCAGTATATGTGAAAAAACAATTCTTTGTGGATTGCTATCTAGTTACTACTTTAAATCAGGCATCCTCAGACATCATTATTTGTTGCTTTTGAAAGACATAGACTTTATATTTTAGATAATTTTGAGTTCTCAGCACAACTGAATATAAATGACAGAGTTCCCATATACTGCCTACTTCCTATGAGCCAATACACAGATACAGCTTTCCCCACTATCAACATCCTGCACTAGAGTGGTGACATTTGCTACAATTAATGAACCTACATTGACTCATCACTACCATCCAAAGCCCACAGTTTATATAAGGCTCACTCATAATGCTGAACTTAAAGACTTTTTTTTTTTTAAAGATTTGTTATTTATTTATTTGACAGGTAGAGTTAGACAGTGAGAGAGAGAGAGAGAAAGGTCTTCCTTCCATTGGTTCACTTCCCAAATGGCCGCAATGGTTGGAGCTGTGCCAATCTGAAGCCAGGAGCCAAGTGCCTCTTCCTGGTCTCCCATGTGGGTTCAGGGGCCTAAGCACTTGGGCCATCTTCTACTGCTATCCCAGACCATAGCAGAGAGCTGGACTGGAAGAGGAGCAACCAGGACTAGAACAGGCACCCACATGGGATGCTGGCGCCACAGGCGGAGGATTAACCTATTGCACCATGGTGCCAACCCCTTAAAGATTTTGACAATGTCCAATGATATGCCATATGGAGTAGTGTCACTGTCCCTAAATCCTCTGTGCTCCTAACATTCTTTGCTACCTTCTCCAACCCCTGGCAACCATTGATCTTTTTACTGTACTTATTTTGCCTTTTCCAGAATGTCATATAGTTGGAATCATAGAGTATGCAGCCTTTTCAGTTTGACTTTTTTTTTTTTGGTAATATACATTTACGTTTACTCCATGTGTTTTCATAGCTTGATAGTTCATTTTTTAGTACAGAATAATATCTGTATGTACCATGGTTTATTGATCCATTCACCTACTAAAGAACATCTTGGTTTCTTCTGAGTTTTGGCAATTATGAATAAAGTGGCTATAAATATCTGTATACAGATTTTTTAATAGACCTAAGTTTTCAACTCCTTTGGATAAATACCAAGGAGTGCAACTGCTGCATCATATGGTAAGTGTGTTTAGTTTTGTAAGAAACTGACAAACCATCTCTCAAGTGACTATATCATTTTGCATTCCCACAAGCAGTGAATGATAGTTCCTGAGCTCCAAGGCCTAACCAGTGTTTGGTATTTTCAGTGTTCCAGATTCTAACCAATTTAATAGATATATAGTGGCATCTCAATATTATTTAAATTTCATTTTTCTGATGATATATGCTGTGAAGCATCTTTCCATATGCCTATTTGACATCTGTACACCTTCTTTAGTGAAATGTCTGTTCAGATCTTTTGTCCATTTTTAATCATATTATTCATTTTCTCATTGTTGTGGTTTTTTTAAAGATTTATTTGTTTATTTTTTTACTTTTATTTAATAAATATAAATTTCCAAAATACCCCTTATGGATTACATTGGCTCCCCCCCCCCACAACTTCCCTCCCACCCGCAACCCTCCCATCTCCCGCTCCCTCTCCCATTCCATTCACATTAAGATTCATTTTCTTTTTTTTTTTTTTTTTTGACAGGCAGAGTGGACAGTGAGAGAGAGAGACAGAGAGAAAGGTCTTCCTTTGCCGTTGGTTCACCCTCCAATGGCTGCCGTGGCTGGCGCGCTGCGGCCGGCGCACCGCGCTGATCCGATGGCAGGAGCCAGGAGACAGGTGCTTTTCCTGGTCTCCCATGGGGTGCAGGGCCCAAGTACTTGGGCCATCCTCCACTGCACTCCCTGGCCACAGCAGAGAGCTGGCCTGGAAGAGGGGCAACTGGGAAAGAATCCGGCGCCCCGACCGGGACTAGAATCCGGTGTACCGGCGCCGGTAGGCGGAGGATTAGCCTAGTGAGCCACGCGCCGGCCAAGATTCATTTTCAATTCTCTTTATATACAGAAGATCAATTTAGTATATATTAAGTAAAGATTTCAACAGTTTGCTGCCACACAAAGTATAAAGTACTGTTTGAGTACTAGTTATAGCATTAATTCACATTGTACAACACATTAAGGACAGAGATCCTACATGGGGAGTAAGTGCACAGTGACTCCTCTTGTTGACTTAACAAACTGACACTCTTGTTTATGGCATCAGTAATCACCCTAGGCTCTTGTCATGAGCTGCCAAGGCTATGAAAACCTTTTGAGTTCGCCAAGTCTGATCTTATTTAGATAAGGCCATAGTCAAAGTGGAAGTTCTCTCCTCCCTTCAGGGAAAGGTACCTCCTTCTTTGATGGCCTGTTCTTTCCACTGGGATCTCACTCACAGAGATCTTTCATTTAGGTCATTTTTTTTTTTTTTTTTGCCAGAGTGTCTTGGCTTTCCATGCCTAAAATACTCTCATGGGCTCTTCAGCCAGATCTGAATGCCTTAAGGGCTGATTCTGAGGCCAGAGTGCTGTTTAGGACATCTGCCATTCTATGAGTCTGCTGTGTATTCCACTTGCCATGTTAAATTGTTCTCTCCTTTTTAATTCTATCAGTTAGTATTAGCAGACACTAGTCTTGTTTATGTGATCCCTTTGACTCTTAGTCCTTTCATGATGATCAATTGTGAACTGAAACTGATCACTTTGACTAGTGAGATGGCATTGGTACATGCCACCTTGATGGGATTGAATTGGAATCACCTGGCACGTTTCTAACTCTACCATTTGGGCAAGTCCAATTGAGCATGACCCAAATTGTACATCTCCTCTCTCTCTTATTCCCACTCTTATATTTAACAGGGATCACTTTTCAGTTAAATTTAAACACCTAAGAATAATTGTGTGTTAATTACAGAGTTCAACCAATAGTATTAAGTAGAACAAAAAATAATACTAAAAGGGATAAAGTATTAAGTTGTTCATCAAAATTCAGGACAAGGGCTAATCAAGTCACTGTTTCTCATGGTGTCCATTTCATTTCAACAGGTTTCCTTTTTGGTGCTCAGTTAGTTGTCACCGATCAGGGAAAACATATGATATTTGTCCCTTTGGGACTGGCTTATTTCACTCAGCATAATGTTTTCCATATTCCTCCATTTTGTTGCAAATGACCGGATTTCATTGTTTTTGACTGCTGTTTAGTATTCTATAGAGTACATGTCCCATAATTTCTTTATCCAGTCTACTGTTGATGGGCATTTAGGTTGATTCCATGCCTTAGTTATTGTGAATTGAGCTGCAATGAACATTGAGGTGCAGACAGCTCTTTTATTTGAAAGGCAGAGTTACAGAGAGGCAGAGGCAGAGGCAGCAGCAGCAGGGAGAGAGAGAGAGAAAGAAAGAGAGAGGTATTCCATCTGCTGGTTTACTCCCTAAATGGCAGCAACAGCCAGAACTGAGCCAATCTGAAGCCAGAAATCAGGAGGTTGTTTTGCACCTCCCATGTGGGTGCAGGGGCCCAGGCAGTTGGGCCATCTTCTACTGCTTTCTCAGGCCATAGCAGAGAGCTGGATTGGAAGTGGAGCAGCTGGGACAGGAACCAGCACCCATATGGGATGCTGGCACTACAGACCAGGGCTTTAACCTGCTTCACCACAGCGCCAGCCCCACGGTTGAGTTTTAAGTTCTTTAAAAACACTTCTTTATCCCTGACACTTTCCCTTACTCCACTGCTTTCTGTTGATTCATGTAATTGTAACACTTCATCCCTTTACTTTTAATCTATACAAGCCTGTATTTAAAATGGACTTCTTATAGATAACATACTTGGGTTATATTTTGAGATCTACTCTGAGCATCTCTGTCTTTTCATTGGTACTGTTTAGACTATTGATATAGTTAGACTGGCATAGATGGACGAACATCTACTGTCCTCTAAAGAACAATGTTTTTAATTCTTAGTAACAAATCCTTAGAAACCTGAGGTGCTGGACAATAGGCTTCCTTTTACCCTGTGTTGGGGTTATGATCTCCCTCCATGATCTCCCTCCAATAATCACTTGTCCCTGTCCTGGAGGCATAGGGTCCACAGTCCTCCCTTCAGTGAAACACAGACACGCACCTCTTCTCCTTGGAGGAGTTCTCAACAATTGTTTCTCCAGCTGCTCCAAAAGCTTTCTCATGCATGATCTCCTGAACAGCCTTGTAGGCCTCTTCTTTTTACTTTGCAATAATTACCCCTTTCCAACTGCTAGACCACTGACCTTCACAACCAAAGCAGTACAGTCTGCACTCGTAATGAAGCTGCAGGCCTCTTCAGGCTTGGTGAAAGCTCTCCATCATGCAGTTGGGATTCCATGTCGATCCATAAACTCTTTAGCGAATCTTTTTCTGGAATCTAACTGATCTGTTTTTGTTGTGGGGCCAAAGAATTGCGCTCCTGCAGACGTCATGTTCTCAACAATTCCAGGAGCCAAAGGTGCTTCAGGTCCAACAGCTACCAATTCAATGTTCTTATTTTGCAGAATTGAGAAAGGGCAGTGTGATCACTAAGATGGTAGTATTTGAGATCTTTTCAGAGCAGGCAGAGCCTGCATTTCCTGGGTCAACCAACACTTGTTTGACATCATGGGACTGTGTAAATTTCCAGGCCAGTATATGTCCTCTTCTTCCATTGCCAATTACAAGTACTGGGCTGTCATTCCTGTGTGCAAGGCAGAAATTCCAAAGGAAAATGAAACTGACACCAGAAGACCATGTCCCTTGCGCATGCCCATTTTCAAATAACACAATATCACTTCAGGAGTATTAAAAGTACCTTGTAATACCAAAGTATTCCTAAATATTCTCTCCTAACTTTTATAATAATGTCATTCATTTCAAACATTATAATAATCAAATATATTATTGCCATTATTATTTTGTAGCAACTATTTTCTGTAAATAAGAAAGATAATACGTGTCATTTTAACTTTACTTATTCTTTGTCTAATATTGTTTCCTTATGTAGATATGAATTTCTGATCTAACTCATTTGCCTTTTCTTTGAAGAAATTGTCTTAACATTTTTTGCAGGACAGGTCTACTAGTGAGAAATTCTCTCATTTTTGTTTATCTGAGAAAGTATTCCTTCTTCACTGTTGAAGGGTACAGAATTCTAGGTTGGTGGTTTTTATTCTCACAACACATTAAATATTTCATACCACTCTTTTCTTGCTAACAGTGTTTCTGAGAAGTCATTTGATTAAATTCTCAACTTCCTTTCTGCCTGGCTTCTTTCAACTTTTTTCTTTATCCTTGTTTGGGTACTGTATGTCTAGATGTAGTTATGGCATTTCTGTATCTTTTTAAAATGCACCTCATTTGGTTTGCAGGATGAATATCTCTGTAAGAGTTAGGATTCTATTTGGTAGTGCTATATTCAGTCCTATTATTATCCACCCTGATCTCCAGAAGAATTTTCATTCTGACTGGATAAGGCAAAATCATTATAACTAATTCACCCAGAAAAAAATTACTACCTATAAGAGTTTGTGTTGTCGCTCCCCGTCTTCGTGGAGGAACGACACAGGACCCTGCGCTGTTCTTTCGTCTGCTCGGCCCTCCCCGGGTTTGCTGCTGGTTCTTCCCGGGTTGGCTACTGTCCCTTCCACCTCCGTGGAAGGGCGTTTCCCCCTGCCACATTCCCCACTTCCGCGGGGGAGCGGCACACTGCCAGCCGGCTCTCTCGGGGGCTGCACAGGTGTTCCTTCAGATGTTCCCCTTAGATGTTCCTCGTGCATGTTGTCTCTCTCCTCCTTTATAGTCCTCTTCCACCAATCCCAACTCGGCTGCCCACACGCCGAGTATGCTGCTCTCCTCCAATCAGGAGCAGGATCAGCTCCTGGAGGTCATCACTCAAGTTGGCAAGAGGCAGCTGCGTAGAAGCTGTTTCCTCCTCTCCCAGCGCCATATTGTGGGAGAGCAGATGCATAGAATAAGTCTTAATTCCAGTAACTTAGTCTAGTCCGAGTTGCTCCCCACATTGTGTGAAATTTCTTCTTTCATTTTTTCACAGATTCTATTTTATTTATCAATATAAGCACCACATTCAAAATTACTTAACATTAGGAGTAGTACCTATTTAGTCAACATGGTATTAAATTAAATTAATGCTTAATTTAATTTTTATACAGAAGGACATGTTATCATATTCAGCATTAATTCCTTCCTGGAACCTCCTCATGATGAAATGGTAAGCAATTTAATCTTCTACTTTAATGAATCAGCACATACTTATTGAGCATTTCATTTATGCTAGATACCAAGAAAATAGAAACTAAGACTCCCTGCTCTCAAGGCACATATATTCTTTAAATTTGAGCTAAATGACAAATAACAATGGTATACTGGTAAAGAGGGAATAGATGAGGGAGAGGGATTGAGTAGGTCAGCCAGGAGTCTCTTTGCATCTTCTTCATGTTTTGACTTATCTGTGAGTATTCATTTAGCAACCTGTTTGTTTAAAGGAGTTCATAGGTAATCCTTCTCCATCATAAGTTCATCTATCTTATACATCTTCATGTCATTTCATACATAACCTTTCCTTGCAAATCTAGTGCAGAATTATAATTATTTTGAAGAAATTCTTATAATTATTTTGAAGAAATTCTTCTTCATATCTAGTCTAAATCTAATCTTCCTTCTAATTCAGGTACTTTTAATTCTATTTTTACTGTTAAAACAATGTAAATGTCACCATCCTTATTTTATAAACATTTGAATATGTACTTCTTATATGTATATGGATATCCAAATATATCTATATTTATTATAGATTAAAATCCAACACTGATTAAAGATTGTACCAAAAACACACTATTTGAGTGTGGGCTTATTTCCCTTTCAGTTAGTACTTCAAATCCAGAAGTTAAATATTACCATAAACAGTAATGCTTCACTTTTGAATCATAAAGATTAGCATATGAACACACAGATTAAGATTTGATTTCTTAAGGTATGCAGAATGATTATTATTTCAACATTATTTTATTTAATCAATATAGTTTTCCTTTCATTCCAAAGAATCCATGGTAGTTAGCAAAAAATTCAGGTATTCAATTTTAAAAGTATTATGTCTCAAAGAGTGTAAAACAGAATGATTTTCCCAGGATCACACAGTCCATTAATGACAAAATCAGGGTCAAAGGTCAGGGTTCTTGTTCTATAATGTACTTTCTGTATGTAACTTACTTTTATCACATGGAAAACAACAAGGTTCAAACAACTTGTGAAACACAAAGTTTCGTTTACCAATAACTATAAATTTTTTATAATCAAGACATGAAGTAAGCTGAACAAAATAAAATCATCCATTTGAAGTACATACAAGTTAATGTTTATCTACTTGTTTTCTTCTACTGTCACAATTATCAATATTGTATTATTACTTTTAACAAAAATATGTTTTTGCAAATTAAGTACAAATTGGCAACTAAAACATTTTGAAATTCAGAGAAAAGCTTCAAAGCACAGTTATAAAGAATATTGTTACTGTAATTTTAAATCATTTTTACCAATTTAAAAGAAGATAAACTATTTTAGTAACTTACTTAAAATTCTTCCCTACCAATCTCATGTCAACCTTTTCTGTACTTGAAAAATGATTATCCAATTTGTTCATGGTGGCTAATTTATAAATACACAACAAAATCTGAGTATAAAATGTGGCATTATCACATAGATTAACATATGCCACTGCATTAAACCAGGCCCAGCTATAGATTAAATTTGCTGTGAAAATCTAATATGTGCATGTTAAATTCAGAAGTTAATCTTGTTCCCCCCCACACACATTATTGTTGAAAAGAAGTTTCATGGATTCTAAAACAATAGGAAAAAACTCTCCACAGCAAGGTAAATGATACATATGATTATATATACACACATACACACAAAAGACAGTCCTATTTTCTAATTTCAGATTAAAATCCATTGAGGGATCAGGAAATCAATTTAGTGAGTTGGAACCAATTTAATGAGTTGAGTAAAAGTAGAAGAGATTTCAGTGTGATGTAATAGAATAGAACAGACAATACTGGCAGGCATTAGGAAAGTTAAATTGCCAGTTGAGAAATTTGTTTCAGATGACATGCAGGTGTACATTTGTTTGTTTGTTTTAAATATTTTCTTATTTATTTGAAAGGCAGAGTTACAGAGGCAGAGGCAAAGAGAGAGAGAGGTATTCCATCTGCTGGTTCATTTCCCAGATAGCCACAATGGCTGGAGATGAGCCAATTCGAAGCTGAGAGCCTGGGGCTTCTTCCAGGTCTCCCATGTGGTTGCAGGGGCCCAAGGACAGTAGCACATTATCAGGGAGCTGGATCAGAAGTGGAGGAGCTGGGACTCAAGCCAGTGCCCATTTGAGATGCTGGCACTGCAGGTGGCAGCTTTACCTGACACGTCACAGTGCCAGCCCTGTATATTTGTTTTTACTGGGTCACAAAACAAAATCTGTATTTTACTACAGGTATGAAACACATTAGAGAAACATTTTCCTTAGAGAATCCCATCCTTAGGCATAGAAAGAAACCTTGAAACACCAGATACTCTTGAATAGTCTTGGGAAAATAAGAAGTAGGAGAATGCGGAAGATTTTCTATTGCTCTCCAAGAAAGGCCAGAAGGAATTGAATCAGAAGGCCAAGAAATTTAGGAGGAACTGTACCTAACCTTTGTTAAAGTTCAAATGTAGGAGACTCTTAGGAGAACTTCAAGCTTCTAGGGCTCTAGTCAAACAAATACTCCTAGGTAGATGACCCAGGGTGCAGTAAGATCTTAGTCTGAGTTCATCAGTGGTAAAAAAAAAAAAAAAAGAACATACTCGGGGCTGGTGCTGTGCAAGAGTGGGTTAAAGCCCTGGCCTGAAGTGCCAGCATCCCATATGGGTGCCAGTTCTAGTCCCGGCTGCTCCTCTTCCAATCCAGCTCTCTGCTATGGCCTGGGAAAGCAATAGAAGATGGACCAGGTCCTTGGGTCCCTGTACCCACATGGGAGACCTGGAGGAAGCTCCTGGCTCCTGGCTTGAGATCGGCGCAGCTCCGGCCACTGCAGCCCTCTGGGGAGTGAACCAGCAGATAGAAGACCTCTCTCTCTCTCTCTCTCTGTCTCTACCTCTCTCTGTAACTCTGTCTTTCAAATAAATAACATAAATAAATTAAAAAAGAGAACATACTCTAAGGCCATGTGACTGTAGCACAAATTCCTCAGTTGACAACCCTACCTCACATATTTCAGAAATGTCTTGAGGCCCATAAAGGGCTCCAACCTTGAGAATAAATGGAAAGGAACATGCTAATGAAGCCTCATGATATATCTGAAAGGCTATGAGTTTAACTCATCATTTTTGTCACTTCCTGATAGTATATACCTCCCATCCCACACCTTTCAAAAAATAATATGGCCAACGTTATCTCAAAATAAAATTTGAATACAGCAAGTCTTTTTGCCAATCTTCATTTGAGTTTTACCTTCCAATTCTGCTTCCTCCCACTCCTGATTATATACATGCTCACTCTTCCCACAACCACCTGCTAAGGCATTTCTTTCATCTAGTCATCTAGTAATCACCAACTAAATTAATTGCCAATCTTCACTCACATGCTAAATTACTAAGGCCATAAGATGCTTTCTCTCCAATGGTTATGTGTGGATTAATAAGTCTCTAAAAATGGCACTTTGATACTCAAAAAGAAAAGAAGAGCTAATTGGGTAAGGTTTTAGTCATCCAGCACAGATGTCACTCATAAGCATGGATCTCTCATGCCCAAGAATAGATTGTGACCAGCATATACTTATTCCAACGGATATGCTTTATTTTTACTATCTAGAAATTCAAGCAGCTGCTTTCCTGGCGTGCCCATGCTTTAGAAATTATTCAAGTAATCTACGTGGAAGACAAACAAGTAGTGCTTACAGCCTCCATCGATGGCTCAGTAAGGTAAGACAAGGTGGCTTCACACTGTGCATTCAGGGATTTAAGTATGAGAGGAAAAGGATTTCAAACTAAAATTGAAGAACACAGTTCAAATGCAATCTTTGTAAGTAAATAAAGTAAAAAAAATAGAATAATAAAAAGGTGACACAAAGGGCTTAGACAAGATGTTCACTGATTTGGAATTATTTTCCACATCCAAGAAAATGAGATGACATCCTCATTATTGTTTTTAGCCCTTGTCTATTTTCCTGCGGAACAGTGGTCTTTCTACTTTTTACTTATTGAACATTACGGTTAGTGGTGTATTACACCTATAATTATAAACTGAAGTTATTGTAAAAATCAAAGGAGAAAAGAAAGGAAGGAAGAAGGGTAGATGGAGGGAAGGAAGGAGGGAGGGAAAGAAATATGGTTATTATCTTCTTAGAATTGTATCTATGAAATACATGAAATCTGTTCTCTTTATATTTATAAAATTATTTAAAAAGATATAACAAATGTATTTCCAATAAGAATTTTTTGTAGAGTTCTATCAAAGATTCAAGCAAGACAGGTGAGAGAGATATCCAAACCTAGAGAAGATCATAAAAAGAGGCTCAAGATTGAAAATCATAAAAAAATTATAAACAAATGCTGAGAAAAATGAGTGAGCTAATTAGTCCATTGAACAAAAGTCTACATGTTTTTAATTACCCAGATAATGCTAAGTACATACACTACAAATACCAAGACATAGACATATATATGAGAAAAAAAGGACATTTCTGGAGACAAATTACTATCTTTTAAAATGCCTTAAAATCATGGTAATCAATTATTCTTTTAGAAAAATGAAGTTAAGCGAGACTAAGAGATGCAGAGAGGCTTCAAAGTATATTAGAGAATTTAAACAAATAAGAATGAATATGAAGGAATATTTTATGTTTCGTAAAAGCCCTTGAACTAAAATTAAATAGACCTTAACTAACTATGTGGGCTTCAGGCCAAAGAGGCAGGGTCAAGCCTATGCCATTTGTGGTAGGCATTGTTAGGAACTGGAAACTTTCCTATCAAAGAAATAGCCACTAAGGCTGGCGCCGTGGCTCAATAGGCTAATCCTCCACTTTGCAGCGCCGGCACACTGGGTTCTAGTCCCGGTCGGGGCGCTGGATTCTGTCCCGGTTGCCCCTCTTCCAGGCCAGCTCTCTGCTATGGCCCGGGAGTGCAGTGGAGGATGGCCCAAGTCCTTGGGCCCTGCACCCGCATGGGAGACCAGGAAAAGCACCTGGCTCCTGGCTTCCAATCAGCACGATGTGCCGGCCGCAGTGGCCATTGGAGGGTGAACCAATGGCAGAGGAAGACCTTTCTCTCTCTCTCTCTCTCACCGTCCACTCTGCCTGTCAAAAAAAAAAAAAAAGAAAAAAAGAAAGAAAGAAAGAAAGAAAGAGCGAGCCACTAAAGCATTTTAAACAGAGGAGTAACAGGAGCTGAATTATATATTTAAAAGATACTGTATAGGGATAGATTGTAGGGCAGTAAAACTGAGTACAAGATCAGTTATATGTCTACAGTGAATATAGTAACTTGGATTAGGGAAATGCCAACAGTGATGGAAGTATATGATGTAGAACTGAGTACTGTCTCAGATGTAACATGAATTCATAAATCTTAATTGAAAGGGGTGGAAAGTGAAAGAAAAATGGAAGTATGTCATTGTAAAAATTAAAAGAAAAGTAAGAAAAAGAGGAGGGTGAGTGAGAGGGAGGAAGGGAGGGAGGGTAGGGTGGAAAATACCATCATGCTCTTAAAACCATTTATATGAAATATATTAAATTTGTTTCCTTTATATAAGCAAAAGAAAAAAAGACCCTTGACCTTACACTTAAGTGAATGTTGTTGTTACTAATCAAGATAGGAGGCCGGCACCGCGGCTCACTAGGCTAATCCTCCACCTTGCAGTGCCAGCACACCGGGTTCTAGTCCCAGTCGGAGCGCCAGATTCTGTCCCGGTTGCCCCTCTTCCAGGCCAGCTCTCTGCTGTGGCCAGGGAGTGCAGTGGAGGATGGCCCAGGTGCTTGGGCCCTGCACCCCATGGGAGACCAGGAGAAGCACCTGGCTCCTGCCATTGGATTAGCGCAGTGCGCCAGCCCCAGCGCGCTGGCCGCGGCGGCCATTGGAGGGTGAACCAACGGTAAAAGGAAGACCTTTCTCTCTGTCTCTTTCTCTCACTGTCCACTCTGCCTGTAAAAAATTAAAAAAAACTAATCAAGATAGGAGTCATTCAAAGACAAAATACTTACGATTATGGAAAGATGGAAGAGAAGGTTTAGAAATGTTTGGTTCAAGGTGGATCTGTAGGGAAAAGGTACTATTCTGGATGAAAAGAAATGATGTGTTGCTTTATTTGCAGAAGAGATTAAAAGTATGCATTTTCATTATTATGGCTTTTTTTTTTTTTTTAATTTTTGATAGGCAGAGTGGACAGAGAGAGACAGAGAGAGAAAGGTCTTCCTTTGCCGTTGGTTCACCCTCCAATGGCCACCGCTGCAGCCGGCGCACCGCGCTGATCCGATGGCAGGAGCCAGGATCCAGGTGCTTTTTCCTGGTCTCCCATGGGGTGCAGGGCCCAAGCACCTGGGCCATCCTCCACTGCACTCCCTGGCCATAGCAGAGAGCTGGCCTGGAAGAGGGGCTACCGGGACAGAATCCGGTGCCCCGACCGGGACTAGAACCCGGTGTGCCGGCGCCGCAAGGTGGAGGATTAGCCTATTGAGCCACGGCGCCGGCTTTATTATGGCTGTTTTTAACAACTGTCCCTTGGCCTGTGCTTCAGCTTATTTTCAGGTACCTGTCAGCAGAACTGTTAATTGGAGTTTGCAACAAACACGCCCGTGTGTGTACACGCGTGCACACACACACATACACACATACACATACTAGTTGTAAGCGTTCCCTGTTTGTCTTATTCTGTTCAGGCTGCTTTAACAAGATGCTTTAGACTGGGGAATTTATAAACAACAGAAATGTGTTGCTCACAGTGCTGGAGGCTGGGATGACCAAAACCAAGGCCACAGCAGACTCAGTGTCTGGCAAGGAATCTCTCAGCTTCTTCAGGGGCTCCATTTATCTGTGTCCTCCTATGATGGAAGGGGCAAATAGAACTCCCAAGCCTCTTATAAAGTGGCACTAATCATATTCATGAGGCTGGGGACTTCACAACCTAAATATCTGTCAAAGCTCCACCGCAACCCCATATGCGAGACATGAAGTTTCAGCCTAAGAAATTCGAGGGCATATAAGCATTCAGCTCATAGCACTGCTCAAATCAGTTATCCTTGGCTTGGAGAAATTACTTTTATAATCCTTCAAGTGGAAGTCTCCTTAAATACTCAGTTCAAAGAGCCTAACTATCAATTGTTATCTCAGAATGCAACTCTCTTCATTGTCTTGCTGATACTGGCCACCACATTCTAAAGAGCTAGTCAATTTTAATTCAAAATATTATTGGTCAAAAATATTGTGATTTTAATAGGAAATTTACATAATTGATGCTAAACTCTGGGACACAGCACCATCAGTCTGAAGACCAAATTTTAGGGAGGCAAAGACAGGTTCAGGGTAGCCAAGGATCCATTTCCAAGGGACAGGAAATCAGGCTGAGGGGAAGGATTCATTTGTTGGGAGTGTTCCACATGGAGATGAAACAAGGAGACCAAAAGTTATTTCAGTTCTGGTTCAAAGCAGAATAAATTTAGATTTGTTCTGAGGTTAGTCTCTTACTGTTCTGTTTGTGTTAAAGTGCTTGTCTTTTTAACAAAGTGTGACATTTTTTTAATGCAGCAGAATTAAATCATGAAAGAAATATAAGACATTCATTAAGTCCTCAGGGTACTGTCAAGCATGAGGTGTCCTAATTGGATACCTCTGCTTCTGCTTCATCCTCAGCATCTTCTTTGAGGTGCTACTTGAGCTTTGTGGAGTCCTCTCATAGCTCCTTTATTTTTTTTTTAAGTTTTATTTATTTATTTGAAAGTCAGAGTTACACAGAGAGAGGGGAGGCAGAGAGAGAGAGAGAGAGAGAGAGATCTTCCATCCAATGGTTCACTCCCCAGTTGGCCGCAACAGCCTGAGAGTGGGGCAGCTGGATCTCGAACCAGCGCCCATATGGGATGCTGGCGCTTCAGGCCAGGGCGTTAACCTGCTGCGCCACAGCTCCAGCCCCTCTCATGGCTCCTTTAGCTTGTCTTCCTTGTTCTGAATCACTACTGCAGGGCACATGATGATTGTTTTCATCATTTACTGCTCTAAGGTTGAAATCAAGAAAGAAAAGGAAGATCTTCCAAATAGGATGTTCTTTCCCTAAGACAGTTTCTGTTCCATAAGATATAGATACATGTGCTATTTACAGGAACCTCCTAGAGAACTGATGAATAATAATGCATATAGAGTCACTATTTTGCCATCTTTCTGCAGGACATTAGTATGGTGTTTCCCTAAGAGTAGGAATTGTGAATGAAAGTCAAGAGGAATTTTATATTTAATAAAAGCATCACTAGTTCTACAAATTCTGTTGATACTGATTTGAAATGTAGACAGCAGAGATAGAGTCCACTCTTAAGGCTTAAAAAAAATAATAGACTGTCAGCCAGTGTGAGTTCTGATTATCTTAAATAAAGTGTTATTTTCGGAAAAAAATCTGTTCCTTGTCTTCCAGCTCTGATAAATGGGTGTCATAAATGCAGATTCAAACTGACATTTCACTAAAAGATTGTGGATTGGAGTTCTGATCAAAATGTCTACATTATGATTAGCCCCACGGCATTTACTAGGAAGAGTCTTAGACTCAGGTGCAAAATCCTTGATGATCTAATGAACATAATAACTGCCACAGAAGTCCCCATTTACTTTCTCCTTCCTCTCCTCTTTACCTTTTCTCAGGCTTTGGCATGCCCTCAGTGGTCATTACTGTGGCTACTTTGGACAGCGAAGGAACTTTGAATTATCACAGACAAGTGATTTCATTTTGCCTTGTGATGTTAGTGAATATCCCATAGAAATGAAAGAAGAAAGCAATTTAACAGAAAAGGAAAGATACGAATATCCTCTGGTATTTGACCGAACAAGGTAAGATCATTAGCTTTTCTTTAGATGACCAGAAAAGAATTAAATTGTGACATTGTTCTGGACACAGAAAATTTAAAGGTTATAGGTCTAGAAATTTTCAGTAACATTTCAATCCAGTGGAAAGAAAAAAAGTGTAAATAAAAAGCTGTGAGTTGGGGCCGGCACCGCGGCTCACTAGGCTAATCCTCCACCTTGCAGCGCCAGCACACTGGGTTCTAGTCCCGGTCGGGGCGCCAGATTCTGTCCCGGTTGCCCCTCTTCCAGGCCAGCTCTCTGCTGTGGCCAGGGAGTGCAGTGGAGGATGGCCCAAGTGCTTGAGCCCTGCACCCCATGGGAGACCAGGAGAAGCACCTGGCTCTTGCCTTCAGATCAGCGCGGTGCACCGGCCGCAGTGCACCGGCCGCGGCGGCCATTGGAGGGTGAACCAACGGCAAAGGAAGACCTTTCTCTGTCTCTCTCTCTCACTGTCCACTCTGCCTGTGGAAAAAAAAAAAAAAAAAAGCTGTGAGTTGGTAGAGTAGTACTTTTGGAAACATTTAATTCTTCAAATAATAACAAAAGGCTAAATAAGACTTTACCAAAGAAGATCAGAGAGGCAACTGCCTGAGCCAAAGTGCTAAATAATGAGATTATGATGCAGTATTTTGGGGCACATGGGGAAAATATAAAAGGAAATAAAGCTAGAAAAATCTATAGGGTCACATCACAATGGGCTTTATAGTGGACCAAGTAAAAATTTTTAAACTTTATAGAATTCCCTGTAAGAGGATACACAAGAGGAAAAGCAGGTCTGGAGGAAGTAATGAGCTTGACTTGAGGCAGGGTTAAGTCTGAGATATTATAGTCCAACTCAAGTGAAGGTGGATAATCCAGTCCTTGTCACTGGGGCCAAGTCTGAGTAAGGAGGACAAAGTTTAAGGAAAAAGAAAAAACAAAGCTTAATTGACCAGCATATGAAAATGATACCAGACTTTGAGGGGGTACTCAATAAATACTGTCCTGGTTGGTGAGTATGCTCCGGGGTTTTTAAGTGATGCAAAAGTGAGGTTGCACTGCTGAGTCAGGTGCTGAAGCTAGGTGTGGGTCTGATAACAGGGTAACTCAGACTCAGCAAGGTTCCTTAAGAAACTTGGTTGATGGTTTGACTTCATCATGAGGAGGGAATAGCAGATGTTCTGCATAACTAAATAGCTAAAAAATGTTATTTGGCTGAGATCTGATAGAGGCAAAGAATTCAGTTAAGAGATTGTAGTGTTTTATTAATCAGCATGAGATTCACTCAGCCTACTGCCCATGCTTACCCATACCCCCTCAAACTCTAGTTACAATAAATTCAAACATCTGGTCATGCTGAAGAGGGCTGGCCGGATTAATTTGCACCTTCAGCTGACTTTCTAAAGACCAGTTTCTGAAATTCACATGCAAGCATTATCTATCTGTTTGAACAGACTTTCTAGTTAGTTACAAGCTCAGTAGTCATTAGATATGAAAAGGAAAAGAAAAATGCATTTGGTTAGGTTACAAAGGGTCTTAATGAGCACCAAGATAGATCTGTCTGGAGTGCCTCAAGATAAAGACTGTGGACTCACCAACACACCAGTGCTTTCACTGTGGATAAGTCATTCAGGTATAGATTGAGAAAAACAGAAAATTAAGGAACAATTTAGGAAATAGCTTCTGAAGAGCAAGCCAAGGAAGAGATAGCAGTGAAATCACTGAAATGGAATAGCTAAGAAATTGAAAGGAAAACCACAAATCAAGTGATGTACAGGGAGTCAAGGGAGGAAGGAGCTGTGAGTAAGGTGATCAACAATGTGTAATGGGACCAGCTTTTTGGCATAGAAGGTGAAGCTGCCACCTGCGACACAGCATCCCACATGGGCACCAGTTTGTCACAGCTGTTCCACTTCCAATCCAGCTCCATGCTAATAGTCTGGAAAAAACAGCAGAAGATGGTCCAAGTGCTTATGCCACTGCAACCCACATGGGAGACCCAGAAGAAGCTCCTGGCTCCTGGCTTCAGCCATGGCTGTTGTGGCTATCTGGAAGTGAACAAGTGTATGGAAGACCTCCCTCTCTCTCTCTCTCTCTTTCTGAGCCCTTTCAAATAAATAGATCTTTGAAAAAAAAAAAAAAACAAAACAAAAGAAAGAATGTAGAATGTAGCATCCATAGAATGTAGCAGTGAGGTCACAAAGGACAAGAGAAAAGTAAGCACTAGTTTTGCATTTTTGTTAGCTGAGAAGTCATCGATGGCCCTAGTGGTGTGATGGGTAAATATCATGTCACAAGGCTGAGAAATAAATGGTAGATATGAGGTAAAGATAGTATAGACTATTTTTTAAAGAATGCAAATAGCCCTAGAGTTGAGAATTTGTTTATAGGGGAGACTCGAGCATCCTTAAAAGCCTGGGGTGAAAGGATGCTTCTTCAACACAGAATAGAATGTTAGTCAGAAGTTGTTTTGTGCTTTTGTACATTTCAGTCCTGGTGTTGGCTGTGGTGGGATCTTTGTCATAATGGAAAAGATTGGTACTCATCTTAGCTTTCAATACCAACAAAGCTCAAGCTTGGATGATGGATGTCTTACATGTCCAGTGCTCAGGAGATCAGACCTGCCTAGACTGGTGACAGAACTGGGGGAGTCACAGAGGTTGAATCCCAAATGGGAAAAACCCAGAGGGAGTTGTCAAACATAAAGTCCTTTAGGACAATCATTAAACCACAGTTGTGGAGACACAATGACATTATCTAATGCAAAGGATGGTAGAACTATAAATAGGCATTGAAGCTCAGAATTAGAAACTACACTGAATTGAGATCAAAATAGGAGTGCTTTGAGAACACGCAAGAAGGGTTCCAAGTGACGGTGAAAACTATTGGAGTGCTCAAGGCTTGCCTTTGCTGCCCAGAAATGATATAGTTTTAACTATAGGGAAAACTTTTCTGAAACTCATGAAAATCAACCTTCGAATTCATATAAAAGGTTTCCCCATTCCAACTATACAGATTTTCTCTTCCAGTGACTATCAATGAATTTAACTGTGTGTAATGTCCAGGTAAATCAGGAATCACTGTGGTTACCCTAAAGGAAAATCTAGGAATTCAAGTGGAGTAAGGATTAGGTCAGACATAGTACCATTGGGATGAGTGCTATGGGAGCCAGGGATTTGAGGAACCACAGGGAGAGGACACATTTGTTTAGCTGACAAAGAATACACATTTGTTTAGCTAACAAAGAATAAAAAGTGGGTATGTACTTAACATTTTTTCCTTGTATCTTATATGCAGATGGAGGAAAATAAGCTCAATGTCTTTACTATTCAAATGTACACCTCCCAAGCCCTTTGAAGTGGAACATGATTTTAAGTTTTTCAAGTCTCTTTCTTCTCCCAAGGTAGCTTTAAAAAGAAATTTGCTTCTGCTTTTCCATTCCTGAATTCAAATATGTCTAGTAAATGTAATATATTTGTTTTCTAGTTCTGCTGCTACAAATTATCATAAATTTTATTGCTGAAGAAATATAAATTACTTATGTTACAATTCTGTAAGAATCTGACATAGGTCTCAATGGTCTATAACTGAGGTGTCACTAGAACTGTGTTCCTTTCTGGAGGCTGAGGGGCAGAGTCCCCTATTTCTTAGTTTGTGGCCCCTTCCTGAATTTCCAAAGCTAGAAATATTATGTCTCTCAGACCTTGTAGTCACATGTCCTTCTGACTTAGCAGGGAAGATTCTTTGCTTTTAAGGATTTGTGTGATTAGATTGGGTCCACATGAAAATCTAGGATAATCTCCCCACCTCGAGATTCTTAACATTGATCCCACATTTGAAGAATCTTTAACCAAGTAGAGCAACATATTCACAGATGGGGGCAGTTAGTAGAGAGTAGGGCATGGACATCTTGGTGACCATTATCTACCATTCACAGACACAATTTTTTTTCATGCACAATTTGGAGAGCAAACATACTCATGTTCTTTCTATTCCTACTTTTAATACTTTTAGAGAATGAATATAGCATGAGTCTTTAGGATAAAGTCAGGTATTAATTAATGAAAACTGATTTCTTCAAGATCTCCTACAAAATAAACCAAACATACTTTCTGAAGTTATCCAGAGCAGGCATTTGGTGCAGTGGTTAGAATGCTGCTTGGAATGCCCCCATTCCATATTAGGAGTACCTGGGTTCAGGCTCTGCGCTGATTGTAGCTTCCTGTTATTGTGCAACCTGGGAAGCAACAAAAGTTGGCTCAAGTAATTAGATTCCTGCCAGCCATGTGGGAGACTCAGATTGGATTCCTAGCTTTTAGCTCTGACCTGGGCCAACATCAAGTGCTGCAGGCTTTTGGGGACTGAACCAAAAGACATAAGATCTCTCTTCCCTCCTCTCTGTCTGCTTTTCAAATAAAATGGGAATAAATAAAATTTGAAGCAATAATAAAAAAAACCAACCTCCACTAATAAAAGACCATTACCCTACTTTCTATATTGTTGTTTCCCTGAGAGTTCCCCTCAGTCTTCTATCTTACAGTCTGGATCATCTGGGACATCCTTATGACATTCATAACCTCCCTCCATCTGTCCACCCTACCTTTGTAACACATATATCTAAGAAAAGGTTAGTATGCATACGATGTAAATAATCCCTGAAAGTAAGTGAGAAAAAAAGACATCATGCTTAAAAATGGTTAAAAACTTGACTAGATACTTCACAAAAGAAAAAAAAAATCATCAACAAACACATAAAAAGATGTTCAAGCTCATTAGTGGCGTATATAAAAATATCATAGGATACTACCAGACATAGGATCTACCAGACTAACAAATGTCAAAAAGTCAGGGAGTAACCAGGGTCACTGTGCATGTGGCACAGTTAAAACACTAATCTGCTGGTGGCCACAATACAAATTGCAGAACCACTTTGGAAAACAATGTGGCATTATCTAGTAAAGTTAGATATTGGCCTATCTTGCTGTATATACAACCTGGGAAATACCTTGAACATGTGCTTAGGAGACAGGTATAAGGAAGCTCAGAGCAAGTCTGTTGTAAAAGCAAAATTGAAAGCAGCCAAATGTGCATCACTGCATGTTGGGTAAGTAAATTATAGAATTATGTTAAGTTAGTACACTATAAAACAGAGAAAATAAATTAACTAGAGTAACAGTTACATGCATGAATGTCTGAAACATACAGCTAAAATGAGAAAAGTTTTGCCTGAGTATATCTATAAATAATTTAATTTGTGTAAAAGCCCATTGTAGGCAAAACAGAACAAAACATTGCTTTGGAAAAGCCATATAAAATAAAAACATATAAATCAAAGCAAGATATTGAAAAGCACAAAATCAGGATAGTCATTAGTAACCAAGGGAAGATGAACACTGGTGAGATCAGATAACTGCACACTTTCAAGTTGAAGTATTGTTTCAATTTGTAAAACAGGGCAGTGGGTCCATGACTTTTCATTATGTCATTATTATTTTATAGTATCTACTTCATATTTTATAATTATTTAATACATTCAAATGAAATAATTTTTCAAGAACCTTACCTTTCTGTCCAAAGGGAACTCAGTTAGCTTATCTTCCCTGAAGACAAGGTGACAAGCAAGGAAAGCCTGGGATGTGGAGTCTGAAAGACTTAAGTTTAGTTTTAGATAATCTGAAAATCCTTCAAAGAGTTATTGTGAGGATAAATAAGAAAATTCTCGGGGACAGTGCTGTAGGGTGGTGGGTAAAGCCACTGCCTGCAGTGCCAGCCCATCCCATATGGGTGACAGTTCAAGTCCTGGCTGCTCCACTTCTGATCCAGCTCACTGCTATGGCCTGAGAAAGCAGTAGAAGATGGCCCAAGTGCTTGGAATCCTGCACCCACATGCTAGGCTCCTGGCTTCAGATAGGCCCAGCTCTGCCATTGTGGCCATTTGGGGAGTGAATCAGCAAATGGAAAACCTCTCTCACTCTCTCTGTAACTCTGACTTTCAGATAAATAAATAAATCTTTTAAAAAACCTCAAATATAACAGGTACATTTGAAATTATCACTAAATGTTAATTCCACTTTTCTCAAAAGCCCCAATCTCCTATGCTCACAATATGTTCACTTGGCATGTCCTACATTGAATTATAATTATTTGTATACTTACCTTACTTCCCAACCCAGCTACAAAATCATAAGCTCATCATTGGCAAAGACACATGCATAGTATGTAATAGATACTCAAGTTTTTAAAATAGGATTGAGATAGTACAACCTAGAAATAAAGACTGGAATTCACTTTTAGTACTCCGTTTAAAGATAAGGAATAATTTTTTAAGTAAGCTAAACATTAAGAAAAAAGCTAGGAAAAATCTTTAGAAAGGTTTATAGAGAGCTTGAATCAATTGAATGCACCAAGTAAAAAATATTTATTCAAGTTTTGCCTTCTTCTTAGCTAAAGTGTTTGTTAAAATAACAAAGGTTCAATGCTAAATTCCATAGAAATGCCTTTCACTTAGGAGTCCCTGATTTTCACCTGCAATCATTTTTCTTATTCTTTTTCATTCTCAATTATGTAATACTAATCTATCTACTTCTTTCCTGTTAACTTCTTTTTGATATCTTGTTGCTCATAATAATAATATAATGACAATAAAATTTATACTTGCATAGCACCTTACTCTATGTATGATCTCTTTTGAGTCTCATAACTATTCAACAAGAAGGGCTTGCCCAAGATCCTGGAACTAGTGATGGTTAGGATTTGAACCCAAGTATTTTTCAACTAATTGAATGTACCCTGATTTCATTAAGCATTCATTTGTTTTACAGACTCAAAAATATGCCTTGGAAAGTTCCTTGAGTGAAAACATTAAGGCAGGGATTGTATTCGGTTCTCTGCCTATATATAGGGTGAGTTGAAGGTTTCTAAGACTACAGCAGAATCTGACATCTCATTCCTGACCTCAGGTTACTAAGCATGACTAAAGAAAATCACATAACAAAGCCAGCCCTCAGCTTCCATAAATCTATTATGTCCAATCCAAAAGAAGGTTTGGATTCTGTGTGTCAAAGGTCTAGATCACTTGTCTTGGCCATTCCACACAGTAGCTACTTTGAATTTTACCCTGCTGGATCTTCATCACTTAGAAGATAAAATCCAAATGCTTGATTGCCATACAAACCTTCCATGATCTGGTTTCTGACAGAACTGTGTGCCCTCATTTCCCACAACATCAGGCCCATGCTCTCCCTATATTATAGCCAGATTAATTACTTGCCATGTCCAAACTTCCCTGGTTTCACCCTTACCTCTGTGATTGTGCCTGGGCTGCCTCTTTGCCTAGGGTTCATCTATTCACTTTCTCTATCTAAATCCCTACTTATTCTTCAAATTTCCACCACAGGTAGCTTCTGCAAAAGAACTGAGTATATAACCTAAAAAACAATAAATCAAAGGCCAAAAATTTGAAGTTAACCTTAAATGCTACTTATCTTTACCCAGATCATGTTCATTATTGTATCAAACTTAAGGTAATAGATGATAAGGGTGAATTATCAAGAATTAACAGTTGGCAACAGGGAGGAGTAGTGTATTCTGAAGCAGCTGTATTTCCCCCTCTCCGTCCCTCACTCCTGCATTCACATTGCATTAGTAATAAATAACTTTGTGCGTGTCTATTTATGGCTTCTAGGTTCCAAGTCCCCCTAGTCTAAGATTCCTTCCACTCATTGGTTCAGATGCACGAAGTGAATCTTTAGATGGCATTTCTGGAAAAAAGAAAGGAGGTCATGCTCAACATGAAAAAGTAAGTCAGCCCTAATTCCAAGGTTATTTCTAATTCCACAATGTATCTCATTTCTGTTTGGTTTTCAATTCTTTCTCTGTTCTCAGAAATATTCTGGGGCTACAATTATTTCAGTTCATAATGTTCTTATAACTATTTCCGATGTATATGTTTTTAGCCCATTGAGATGGAAATCATGAATTTGCTACATGGAAAAAGAAACATTAAACAGGATCCGTGAGCCTTAACTAATGAAGTCTTCCTAGAGCTTTATGATAAAATTCACTGAATTGTTTTTAGAAGCTAGGTAATTTGGCACAACATAGCCAATGGAAGTGTAATTATCCTTGCCTCTTTTATTTATTTTTAAAATTAGGATAAAGAGAGCAGATTTCATGTATTCCGTAGGTAGAATTCCAAGAAGACAACCACAATTCCCTCCTCCTATCTCTCCCTCGCCCAATCCCCCAGGCTATATCACATCTCATGCTTTCATGAGTTTTTGCAAACACATAATTCTAATCCATTGTATATTCACAAGTTTAATTCTCCACTAACAATAATTGTCAACAAGTAAAACGTAGGAAGACCACAAGTTCCAGAGGAATATAAAAAAGAGCTAAAAACAATAATCATATCATAAGATGTCCATTTCATCACTATACATTTTTTGTATTCTATATTAACTGCCACATACAGATAAAATATATGATATTTGTCTTTTTGAAACTGTCTTTCTTCTTGAAGTATAATGGTTTCCTGTTGCATACATTTTGTTGAAAAAAAGATTTCATTCTTTTTTTATGGTTGAACAGGACTCCACTGTGTATACATACCACATTTTCTTTATCTCGTCATAAGTTGATGGACATCTGGATTGATTCCATATCTTAGCTAGAGCTGCAAGAAACATGGGTACACGTTCATGGGCTGATTTCTTTTAGTTTGGGCAAATCCACAGAATAGAGATGGCTAGGTCATATGGTAGACTTATTTTCAGATTTATGAGCAATCTCCATACTGTCTTCCATAATGGTTATACTAGTTTACATTCCTACCAGCAATGGATTAGGGGCTCAGATTACCTTTTCCATACATCCTCACCAGCATTTATTGGTTTTTGATGTTGGGATGATAGCCATTCTAACTAGGGTGAGGTAAAACCTCATTATGGTTTTTATTTACATTTCACTGATGGTTAATGATTGTGAGCATTAGTCATTTGAATTTTATCCTTTGAAAAATGTGTGTTCAAGTCCTTTGCCCACTTCTTAACTGGATTGTTTGCTTTGATGTTGTTAAGTTTCTTGAATTCTGGCCGGCGCCGTGGCTCACTAGGCTAATCCTCTGCCTTGAGGCGCCGGCACACTGGGTTCTAGTCTCGGTCAGGGTGCTGGATTCTGTCCCGGTTGCCCCTCTTCCAGGCCAGCTCTCTGCTGTGGCCCGGGAGTGCAGTGGAGGATGGCCCAAGTGCTTGGGCACTGCACCCCATGGGAGACCAGGATAAGTACCTGGCTCCTTGCTTCGGATCAGCGCGGTGCGCCGGCCGCAGTGCGCCGGCCGCGGCAGCCATTGGAGGGTGAACCAACGGCAAAGGAAGACCTTTCTCTGTCTCTCTCTCTCACTGTCCACTCTGCCTGTCAAAAAAAAAAGTTTCTTGAATTCTTTATAGATCCTAGATATTAATACTTTATCAGTTGCATAGTTTGCAAATAATTTCTCCCATTCTGCCAGTTGCCTCTTCACTTTGTGGATCATTTCCTTTATAGTGCAGAAGCTTAACTTAATGTAATCATCTGTCTAATTTTGCTTTTGTTGCCTGTGCCCCTGGGATCTTTTCTAAGAACTCTTTGCCTATGCCAATGTCTTGCAGAGTTTCCCTGATGTAATCCCCTAATAATTTGGTGGTATTCGGTGGTAGATTTAGATCCTTGATCTATTTAGAGTTGATTTTTATAGAAGGTCCAAGTTAGGGGAGTTGTTTCATGTGGAGATCCAGTTTTCCCAGCACCATTTGTTGAAGAGACTGTCCTTGCTCCAGGGATTGATTTTAGCTTGTTTGTGAAAGATAAGTTGGTTGTAGATGTGTGGATTAATTTTTGGGGTTTCTGTTCTGTTCCATTGGTCTACATGTCCTTTTTTGTGCCAGTACCGGTCTGTTTTTATTATAATTGTCTTATAGTATGTCTTGAAATCTGGTATTGTGATGCCTCTGACTTTGTTTTTGTTGCATAGGATTACTTTAGTTATTTGAGATTTCTTGTGTTTCCATATGAATTTTGGCATTGTTTTTTCCAGATCTGAGAAGAATGTCAGATGATTGGGACTGAATCTGTAAATTATTTTGGGTAATATGGACATTTTGAAGATATTAATTCTTCCAATTCTGAACATGGAAGATTTTCCCATTTTTTAGTGTCTTCTATCTCTTTAATGCCTTGAAATTTTCCTTGTAGAGATTTTTCACATCCTTAGTTAAATTTATTCCAAAGTATTTAAAGTTTTGGCAGCTATTGTAAATGCAGCTGTTATCACTGATCTTACAAGTTCTTTCTCAGCCACAGCATTGTTAGTGTTTACAAAGGCTATGGATTTTTGTGTGTTGGTTTTATATCCTGCAACTTTACCAAACTTTCTTGAGTTCAAATAGTGTCTTTGTGGAGTCTTTTGGTTCCTTAATACATAGGATCATGTCATCTAAAAACAGGGATAATTTGACTTCCTCCTTTCCAATTTATATCCCTTTGATTTCTTTTTCTTTCCTTCTTTCTCTTTCTTTCCCCTTCCTCCCTCCCTCCCTCCCTTCCTCCCTCCCTTCCTTCCTCCCTTCCTTCCTTCCCTCCTTCCTTCCCTCCCCTCCCCTCCCATCCCCTTCCCCTCCCCTCCCCTCCCCTCCCCTCCCCTTCCTTCCTCCCTTCCTTCCTTCCTTCCTTCCTAATGGCTCTGGCTAAAACTTCCAGAACTATATTGAATAGCAATGGTGAAAGTAGGCATTCTTGTCTGGTTGTGGATCTTAGCGGAAATGCTTCAAACTTTCCCCAATTCAGTAGGATGCTGCCTGATGGTCTGTCATATATTACCTTGATTATGTTGAGGAATGTTCTTTCCACACCCAATTTTCTTAAAGTTTTCTTTTTTATCATGAAAGGATGTTATATTTTATCAAATGCCTTCTCTGCTTCTATTGAGATAATCATATGGTTTTTATTCTTTAATTTGTTACTGTGATTTTTCACTTTTATTTGTGTATGTTGAACTTTTCCTGCATCCCAGGGATAAATCCCATTTGGTTCAGGTGAATGATCTTTCTAATGTATTGTTAGATTATATTAGCTAGTATTTTGTTGAAGATTTTTACATATATGTTCATCAGGGATATTGGTGTACAGTTCTCTTTATTGTGTCTTTTTCTGGTTTACAAATTAAGATGATGCTGGCCTCATAGAAGCTTGGGAGGAGTCTCTCCCCTTCAATTGTTTTGAATAGCTTGAGAAGAACTATAGTTAGTTATTTTCTAATGGTTTGGTAGAATTCAGCAGTGAAGCTATCCAATCCTGGGAGGGTCTTTATTACTGATTCAATCTATATCTTGCTATTGGTCTATTTTGGTATGCTATATCTTCATGACTTAATTTTGGTAGATTGTAGGTATCCAGAAATCTATCCATTTTTTCTAGATTTTCTAACTTGTTGGCATATAGCTGTTTGTTGTAATGATTCTTATTTCTGTGATTTCATCGCTATTTATTATTACTTTGGGTCTCTTTCTTGGTTAGCTGAGCCAATGGGTATCAATTTTGTTTATTTTTTCAAAAAAACTGATCTTTGTTGCACCAATCTTTTGTACCATTTTTGGTTTCAATTTTGTTTATTTCTTCCCTAATGTTAATTATTTCTTTCCTCCTACTAATTTTGGGTTTGGTTTGTTCTTGTTTTTGCAGGTCCTTGAGATATATTGTTGGATCACTTTTTTGATGCCTTTCCAATTTTGTGATGTAGGCACTAATTGCTATAAACTTTCCTCCTAACACTGCTTTTGCTGTATCTCAAATGCTTTGATATATTGTTTTGTTTTCTTCATTAATTTCTAACAATTTTTTGATTTCCCACTTGATTTCCATTATGACCCATTGTTCATTCAGTAGGATGTTCAGTCTCCACATGTTTGCATGTTTTCTAGAGTTTCTTAAGTTGCTAATATCCACAATTCCATTGTGGTCCAAAAAGACACATGGTATGATATCAGGGTTTTTTTTTTAATTTGTTGTGACTTGCTTTATGGGCTAGTGAATGGTCTATCTAAAAAAAATTCCATGCATTGATGAAAAGAATGTGTATTCTGCACATGTGAGAATTTAAGGTTTTGTAGATGTCAATTAGGTCAATTTGGTCCATAACATAGATTATTTCTGTTGTTTCTTTGTTGATTTTTTTGTCTGGTAGATCTGACCACTAATGAAAGTGGGGAGTTGAAGCCACCCATTATTATTTTATTGGAGTCTATTTCTCCCTTTATATCCATTAACATTTGTTTTACATAGCTAGGCACCCTGGCATTGGGTACATATACATTTACACATCTTCCTGTTGAATTGATCTCTTAATAATTATATAATGTCCTTCTTTGTCTTTTTAAACAATTTTGTATTAAAGTCTATTTTGTCTTATATTAGGATGGCTACTCCTGTTTTCATTTCTCATGTGTGTGATCATCATTTTATTTATTTTTTTTTGTGAGTGAATGAACTCCATAACTAATATACATAATTATTATTCACATCTTACTTTGTTTTTTTTTTTTCAGGCAGAGTGGACAGTGAGAGAGAGAGAGAGACAGAGAGAAAGGTCTTCCTTTGCCGTTGGTTCACCCTCCAATGGCCGCTGCGGCCGGTGTGCTGCGGCCGGCGCACCGCGCTGATCTGATGGCAGGAGCCAGGTACTTATCCTGGTCTCCCATGGGGTGCAGGGCCTAAGGACTTGGGCCATCCTCCGCTGCACTCCCGGCCACAGCAGAGAGCTGGCCTGGAAGGGGGGCAACCGGGACAGAATCCGGCGCCCCGACCGGGACTAGAACCTGGTGTGCCAGTGCCTCAAGGCAGAGGATTAACCTAGTGAGCCGTGGCGCCGGCCATGTCTTACTTTGTTTTAAAGCAACCTTTTTCTGAATGTGTACCTGAGACCCATGATGAATAACTGTGCAGTTAATTGGTTCTAAATCTTCTGCTTTTCTACTACAGCCTTTGGGATTCTCAACTCCTACTTTTAACACACATTTACCATTGAAGGCACAAAGAACTACAAAGGAAATAACTATGCTTTTGAGGTTTTTTCCTGAAAGTATTAAAATCACTATGTATTAGTAGTGAAACTTGTCTCTATAAAATTGTGTTTGTCACAGAATGTCAGTTACTATCTAATATCCCTTTATTTCACAGGCACCACGGAGGAGAAGTCTGAAAACAAATTTAGTTCCACAAATAAATCTGGCTTCATCCTTCTTTCCAGCAGTGCCTAAGTAAGGAGGAACTCTGAAATAGCTGCTGCACATAAAATAGCAACTTCTGGAAAGTAATAAGCAAGTAGCAAGCAGCCAGTTTGCTAACTTCTCTATACATTAAAATCAACATAATCAGTAGGCAGTTTTTATTGTTTGCTGTAAAACAAATCAATAGTATAAGTAAATCTAAAGTAATGTTACCAGTGATTAGCTTTTTACCTCCCCTCATTGCTTATCCTAATCCATAACCAAAATTATTGTCAGAAAATATGAGACAAATCACCTATGTGTCATGATATGTGGTATATGAAAAAAATTATTAAAAAGAAAAATGTGCTTAAGAAGCCTCTAGGTATTTGTCGCCTTCATTTAGGGGAAAGTTGTATGGGAGAAAATACTCAAAGTTTCTTAAAGTAAAAAAAGTTTATATTTAATCCAGAAATGACACCAGAAAAGTAGAATTTGAATGGTTATCTTGGCTTTCTGGGCCTTTTTATAGATTAATTTTGGAATTTTGACCAAATCATTGCACAAATGGGTACTCATGTAAGCAATAAAATATAAAAATTTGATAAGTAATAAATGAGATTTTAAATAAATCAAAGGCATGAAGAAAGCACCAGCATTGAAGCCTAAAGATTGACTGACCTGAACCTCATCAGCAAATGATCCTTACTTCTAAGTATAATTTTTAATCATACACATACAGAGTGCTTCAGAAGGTTCATGGATGGATTAAATTAAAAGATAAGCTTGTAGGTTTGTTTTGAGAGGGAGAGACAAAGCTCTCATCTGCTGGTTTACTCCTCACAAGCCTACAACAGCCATGGCTGGGCCAGGTTGTAGTTAAGATCCAGGAACTCAATCGAGGTGGGTGGCAAGGACCCATCTACCTGAGCCATCACAGCTGCCTCCCACGGTAGGTTCAGGAAGTTAAAATTAGGTATGGAGCTGAGACTTAAATCCAGGTACTCTAATATGAGACATAGGCATCTTAATCTGTGTCTCAGCCTCTAGATCAGCTGGTTTATTTTGGTGCAACACATTTGAAATACATGCAAATTGTTCTTTAATATGTATTTTCCTTGAGTTTTTATATCTCCCGGTAACATGAAGAAAAAATGTGTCTTTTCCTTCTTGTATCAGACAATAGAGTCAATAACTTAACCATCTTCTAAGAGGCATGACTTATTGAAAAATATAGAATGTTTTATTATATTGTATTTAGTTTGAAGTTGGAAACTTCACAAAAAGGTTGGTTAGTGATTTCTGTTTCAGGTAACAGTAGGCTAGGTAATTTGAACCATCACTCCCACTGACCACAATTAACATCATAAAACATCTCTTTGAAGGCATCTGAGAAAATAAGGTAAGTATGTGCATGGTGGATTCTGTGGTAGGACTCAGGATGGGAAAGGTCAAGCCAACTGTTAAAGCCAATTTTATCCTGCAAGTATGTGTTGGGTCCAGAGGGGAAAGTGAAGAAGCTAAGAAGCTGAAGCAGTAATTGGGAATAACGCATCTTTGAGAGATGAATCATTCTCACTTCAGGTTGTGGAATCAAAGGACCATGTCCTAAAAACATGGATGACACAAAAGTTGACAGGTCTTCACTGGGGACTGTTTAAGAAGGTATAACAATGAGGAGATGACTGAAACTGTTAAAATTTTCTGAGGCTCTTGAATTTTCTGGAAGAAGGTGAAAGTAACAATAATCACTCAACTCTGAGAACTGTTAATCTAAAATAATCTGATTATATGATTTGATAATCAGTCTTAAGTATATTAAAAGTGTCATGATTATTTATAATGAACTATTAAGCCATAGAAAGACATGAAGGAAAATTCAATGTACTTTACCAAGTGAAACACACCATGATCCCATTTACATGACATTCTGCGACATTCAAAACTATGGAGTCAGTGAACAAAAATCAGAGGTTTCCAGGGATAGGGAGGGAGAAAAAGATGAACTGGTGAAACACAGAGGATTTTGGTAGGGATGTGGGAGGCAGTAAAACTACTCTGCATGATACAACAATGGTGAATAAATGTCACACATGTTCAAATACTAAAAGTGAACTCTAATGTAAACTATAGACTTTGAACTCTTTCTTAATTTTGTTGATTATAACAAATCTACCTCTCATGGGGGATACAGATATTAGAGCAGGTTATGCACTAAAACTGCTCTAATGTCTATCTTTTAGAATAACCAAAAACACACAACTGCCCTATAGTATGTCCTGAAATCTGGTATTGTGATGCCTCCAGCTTTATTCTGGTTGTACAAGATTGCTTTAACTATTCGAGGTCTCCTGTGCCTCCATATGAATTTCAGCATCATTTTTTCCAGATCTGAGAAGAAGGTCTTCGGTATTTTGATTGTTATCACACTGAATCTATAAATTGCTTTTGGGAGAATGATGATATTGATTCTTCCAATCCATGGGCATGGAAGATTTTTCCATTTCTTTGTATCCTCTTCTATTTCTTCAAGATTTTTTAATTCTCATCATAGAGATCTTTGGTGTCCTTGGTTAAGTTTATTCTTAGGTATGATTGTTTTTGTAGCTACTGTGAATGGGAGTGATCTTCAAAGTTCTTTCTCAGCTGAGAAATTGCCTGTGTATACAAAGGCTGTAGATTTTTGTGCATTGATTTTATATCCTGCTACTTTGCCAAACTCTTCTATGAGTTCAAATAGTCTCTTAGTAGAGTTCTTTGGATCCCCTAAATAAAGAATCATATCATCTGCAAAGAGGGACAGTTTGACTTCTTCCTTCCCAATTTGTATTCCTTTTATTTCTTTTTCTTGCCTAATGGCTCATGCTAAAATTTCCAGTATTATATTGAATAGCAATGGTGAGAGTGTGCATCCCTGTCTGGTACCAGGTCTCAGTGGAAATCCTTCCAACCTTTCCCCCATTCAATAGGATGCTGGCTGTGGGTTTTTCATAAATTGCTTTGATTGTATTGAGCAATGTTCCTTCCATACCCAGTTTGATTAGAGTTTTCATCATGAAAGGGTGTTGTATTTTATCAAATGCTTTCTCTGCATCTATTGAGATAATCATATGGTTTTTCTTTTGTAGTTTGTTAATGTGTTGTATCACATTGATTGTTTTGCGAACATTGAACCATCCCTGCATACCAGGGATAAATCCCACTTGGTCTGGGTGGATGATCTTTCTGATGTGTTGTTGCATTCTATTGGCCAGAATTTTATTCAGGATTTTTGCATCTATGTTCATCAGGGAAATTGGTCTGTAATTCTCTTTCTCTGCTGCATCTTTTTCATGTTTAGGAATTAAGGTGATGCTGGCTTCATAGAAAGAATTTGGGAGGATTACTTCTTTTTCAATTGTTTTGAATAGTTTGAGAAGAATTGGAGTTAGTTCTTCTTTAAATGTCTGGTAGAATTCAGCAGTGGATCCATCTGGAGCGGGGGTTTTCTTTATTGGTAGGGCCTTTATTACTGATTCAATTTCTGTCTTGGTTTTGGGTCTGTTTAAGTTTTCTATGTCTTCATGGCTCAATTTTGGTAGGTTGCATGTGTCCAGGAATCTATCCATTTCTGATAGATTTCCCAGTTTGTTAATATACAACTCTTTGTAGTAATTTCTGATGACACTTTTTATTTCTGCGGTGTCTGTTGTTACATTGCCTTTTTCATCTCTGATTTTTTTGATTTGGGTCTTTTCTTTTTTTAGTTAGTTGGGCTAATGGTGTATCAATTTTGTTTATTTTTTCAAAAACTGATGTCTTCCTTTGGCTAATCTTTTGTAATTTTTTAATTCAATTATGTTGATTTCTTCTCTAATTTTAATTATTTCTCTTCTCGTACTAGTTTTGGGTCTGGTTTTCTGCAGTTTTTCTAGATCCTTGAGATGCATTGATAGCTCATTTGTTTTGTGCCTTTCCAATTTCTTGATGGAGGCACTTATTGCTACAAACTTTCCTCCTTACACTGCTTTTGCTGTATCCCATAAGTTTTGATATGTTGTGTTTTTATCCTCATTTACTTCCAGAAAGTTTTTTTATTTCCTTTGATTTCTTCTATGACCCAGTGTTCATTCAGGAGCATGTTGTTCAATCTCCATATGTTTGCATATGCTCTAGATATTCCTGAGTTGTTAATTTCCAGATTCATTCGATGGTGGTCTGAGAAGATGCATGATATGATTTTGATTCTTTTGAATTTGCTGAGCCTTGCTTTTTGGCCTACTATGTGGTCAATCCTAGAGAAGGTTCCATGCATTGCTGCGAAGAATGTGCATTCTTTAAGGGTAGGATGAAAAGTTCTGTAGATATCTGTTAGATCCATTTGGGCTATACTGTTGATTAAATCTGGTGTTTCCTTGTTGATCGTCTGTCTGGTTGATCTAGCTATTGCTGAAAGTGGAGTACTGAAGTCCTCCAGTGCTATTGTATCAGAGTCTAAGTCTCCCTTTAAGTTCCTTAACATATCTTTTAAATAATCTGTATCCTGTAATTAGGTGCATATACACTTATAATAGTTACATCTTCCTGTTTAATTGATCCCTTAATCATTATATAGTGCTCCTCTTTGTCTCTCTTAGCAGTTTTTGTGTTAAAGTTTATTTTTTCTGATATTAAGATGGCTACATCAGCTCTTTTTTGGTTTCTGTTGGCATGGAATATTTTTTTCCAACCTTTCATTTTCAGTCTGCATGCACCTTTGTTGGAAAGATGTGTTTCTTGTAAGCAGCAAATAGACAGGTTTTGTTCCTTAATCCATTCAGCCAGTCCATGTCTTTTAACTGGAGAGTTGAGGCCATTTATATTCAATGTGACTATTGATAAGTAGTGACTTTGCCCTGCCATTTTTCCAAAGATATTTCTAATATATGCTTTGAACTTCCTGTGATCTTTTACTGGGAGATTTTCTTCCTTTACCTTCTTTTGTATTGATGGCCGTGTTTCTGTGTGTAACACATCTTTAAGCATCTTTTGCAGGGCTGGATGAGTGGCGACAAATTCTTTCAATTTCTTTT